TCGTGTTACACATTATATTTTCCTACAGTCACTATAAAGCATATAAATAATGAATCTTTCAAACACTATACAACACGTTTTTAGGTTAGGTCAACAAGCCATGAACGGAATGGGAAATACTGCACCAGCTGATTGTAGTCGTAGTATCTATATAATTAATAAGCGAACACAAAGTTTGTCGGTTGAACTCCTCCGCCATTTCTTAACCGATTTTATCCATTGACGTCTCATTGGAAAGAGCGTGTCGCGTAGATTTGCAAACTGGCCTAACATTTTTGAAATAGTCCCTTGGGCTCTGCCCCAGTGGCTTTGAAAGTTCCCATGTTATCCTTATGAAGAACATAATTGTTTACATTTTGATGAGCTGTATAATTTAATTGCTGTTATTTATTTTCGTACTTTATTACAATGTAAAATACCCCCGCTGCAGCAAACCTGTCGACTAAGTGAATTTCCATTTGCCTGAATTGATTTTCAATTAAGCTATTAAATTAACATTTATGTTTAACGAGTACCTAGGTTAGCTGCTACAGGGAAACTAATAAAGTGTGTTTTATTAAAATATCAATAGCCTAGTATGAAATAAATTAATCCGTAAAGTTTGATCAAAATATATCCATAAACAAGCCAACTACAACATTTTACAATATTCTCTATAAAAATAACATGGGAATTTTAAATAAACAATTTTTTGAATTTTCCCCGTAACCATTCAGTACAAAAACACTTTGATATACTAAATTATTTGTTTTTTTAAGCTCTATAAAAAGGTTTGGAGAAAAATTGATAAATTTAGTGTTTTAAGGGAAAAAAAATAGAAAAACCCATTTTTACCCCATAAAACCCCCCGTTAAACCCAGTTCCCATGGTCCGATCATGCTGGTTAGCGAACTCATTCAAGTTTATCCCGCCTTACACCTTCAAACCAAATTTTATTGAAATCGGAGAAAAATTACTCAAGTTATCGTCCGGACGGACACATATATATGAAATAATAAAGATGAATTATAAGTGGGCCTAACATGTTTATAAATAATGAACTCAGTGAAACTAATTGTGAATATAATGGTAGACCAGAAATAACAGAAACTGAAAACATGTTTCATTAAACCTGTTGCCTAAAAAATCAAGAAAGAAGTATGAACGAGCACACAAACTGTTTTCTTCTTGGCGCGTAAGTAAGAAAGTTACAAAACTGTCAGAAAATCTTTTATTGCCATATTTTGAAGAAGAATTTACTTGTTTATTATGTGTTTACTGATTATCACTGTTTATACCTGTACTCTTGAAAATAACTAACACTTATTTAATTATGACTAGTGTGCATGTTACTCGAAATCGAGCAATAGCAAAGAAGTAAAGTACAGTACCTATTTAAAAACAAATAACTTATTTAAAAACGAATAAAAGTCATAACTTCCGATGAGTTTAAAAGACTCAACTCATAGATTACGTACCTAACAGTTACATATTATCAACATTTCTAGTAAATATTTAATCATTTTTCAAAAGCTGATCTGGTTTTTTTTATAAAAATTTGAACGAATGGTGTTTTTGGCCTCTGGGGACATCGAAATGAAAAAGTAAATCGGTCCCGGGCCTAGGTCTTACCATGAGACCTAAGGTAATAGCTACTTCCCTATAGGGAAATTTGCTAAAATTGAGAAAGCCTGGGCAATTCGATATATTTTACCAAAAAAGAAAAATTAATTGACAGGGTACTGTATTTTTTTAGCAATAATTGAAAGAACAGATTTTTTTACCATGGAAATATAGGAGTCATAGAACGCCACCAAGTAGAAGAAATAGAGATTTAAAAAAAACCATTTACTATCGTTATCATCCTAAATAATGAAGAGCACTTACAATATGAAGATTCCCACAAACAATGAACAGGGATGTTAGCCGAAGTGTTACTGTTTTGTAGGAAACACTGACTTAAGTTTATGATGATTGGCAAAGGAAAACACTCTAAGACTGAATTAAACTGGTTAGTACGGCAAGGATATTAAATATATGTTTTCATAAAAGTCAAGTGATTTTAAAATAATATGACTACATCCAAGAAACCTTAGTAAAACTTTCACTGAAGGATTTGCATTATTCACATTTAAGGGAAACAAAAAATCATCTGAACAACTGGCCTTTCAATTCTGCATTTTTTTCAGGTAAATATAACTTACGTTATAACAGTAACTAGCCAAATTTATGCCAATTGAAGCAAATAAAATTATGACAGAGAGGTTATGCAGAAAATCAGGCAGTTCTTGTAATGTAATGTAAGTAATGTAAACAAAATGTTATCGCTAAAAAAATTACTGAAATTTGTAAACATACTAGCGACAACGGGTAGTACTATGCAGACTACATTATCATTGACGAAGATCAACATGGACAACCTAATGCGGCTATAAGTGGGAAAGATTTGTAGAATACACTAAAAAACCAGATCAGCTTTTGAAAAATGATCAAATATTTACTAGAAATGTTGATAATATGTAACTGTTAGGTACGTAATCTATGAGTTGAGTCTTTTAAACTCATCGGAAATTATGACTTTTATTTGTTTTTAAATAAGTTATTTGTTTTTGAATAGGTACTGTACTTTACTTCTTTGCAATTGCTCGATTTCGAGTAACATGTACACTAGTCATAATTAAATAAGTGTTAGTTATTTTCAAGAGTACAGGTATAAACAGTGATAATCAGTATAAACATATAATAAACAAGTAAATTCTTCTTCAAAATATGGCAATAAAACATTCTCTGACAGTTTTGTAACTTTCTTACTTACGCGCCAAGAAGAAAACAGTTTGTATGCTCGTTCATACTTCTTTCTTGATTTTTTAGGTAACAGGTTTAATGAAACATGTTTTCAGTTTCTGTTATTTCTGGTCTACCATTATATTCACAATTACTTTCACTGAGTTCATTGTTTATAAAAATGTTAGGCCCACATATAATTCATCTTTCAAATACTACACTTAAGGTTGTGTTCAAACCAAGCGTTGAACAAAAATATAACATAAACTATAAAAACGAAATGACAGGTTAAATCGTACCTAGTTGTAATAGTCAATCAGCTGATCATAGTATTATTATCTTTAAGTGTTGCCAACCTATTTCCAAGTGTACACTGATTATGTGCATAATAAAACCACCCTGTTTTGTGTTGTTTGGTTGGAATCCTGATTTTGTCTACAGTCACCCGACAAAGTTGGCTTCCTTGTACTGTTTATAGTACAGAAAGCTGCTAATTACTGCATATTTATACTTTGTCGTACGGTTTATACTTTGTCGTACGGTTTATACTGCTTGTTTATACTACTTTGGCGCACATCAGGATTCCAACAAAACAACACAAAAATGTGTGGTTCTATTATGCACTTAATCCGTATACGCTTGGAAATAGGTTGGCAACACTTAAAGATAATAATACTATGAGCAGCTGATTGACTATTATAACTACGATTTAACCTGTCATTTTGTGTTTATAGTTTATGTTCTCTTTTCGGTATTTCTGAACTTTCTGGACTTTTCTTTTAAACGTTTTTAAAACATTCCTACGATCTTAATAAATAAGAAAATACCTTTAAAGCATTTTTTTAGGCGCGGAAACCACTGCAAATTACAAAAACATACGGAACTATTTTCTCAAGTCGCGGAGCACATTGCTTGCCAAGGAAAAATAGCGGAGTGGTACGGACCGGGGACTACTTTCTCTAGGGCACCTACTTGTGTTGCCAGCTGAACCTAAAAACGTGTTGTATAGTGTTTGAAAGACCAATTATTTATATGCTTTATAGTGACTGTGGCTATAAACAATTATTTATATGTTTATAGTTATACGTGCCACTTTGCTCACTAGATACACAAATAACTAATGTTTATTTTGTGTAAATTAGAATTTAAACAAAAATGTTCAATCAGCTGTTTTAATTTAAACTATTTGTGAAAACAATGTTTATTCAAGTATAGGCTATTAATGCTATTATAAACGAGTGATTTTTACCATGGACTGTAATAGTATATTTCATTTCTAATCTCATATCTCATATCTTTTCTATTTCATATCTTTTTGTATTTCTAAAGTGACTCTTTTGACGCGATCTCAAGTTTTACAAAAAATGAGCGAGGGTTGAAAAGACACTTTTTGTCCATGTAATGAACTATATTTTTTGTCATATTGCACCATTATTTGAACAAACTATGATACAAAACTGAAATAGTTTTTATTTAAAGAACCTCTCAAAATGAATTCTAACTTGTTTTCAATTTAATCTGCTAAAGAAAACAAGCAGCTGTAAGTTATTCAATTGTTTCGTCTATTATGATTGTGTTAGTGTATATTATATTATCGATATGTTAAACTATTTACAATAAGCTACAATCGATTGAACAATCAATACTTTCGATAAATGTGATTGTTTATAATTTAAATTTACAACTGAGTTGACAACAGCTGATTTTTACTCCCTAGCTAGGGGCTAACAACAATTTTTAGTACATTGAGAGTAAAATTGCAACCTACTTTAGACCTGCAACGCATGCATTAAAAACGGTTGTTTTTACGGTTGTATGAAGAAAAATAAATTAATGTGTTGTAAATTACCAGGTTAAAATTCCCTTCATAATAAATTGAAATTCCACTGAAACTTAATTAATAAAAGCCATAACTAGTTGTAAATAAAACGTGAGTTTCCTTTATATTGCTTTTAAAATGGAATTAAACTACACCGAGCCATGGCTCGGTCCCCAGTTACTCACATATTAAGAATTTACACATGAATGATAAAACAAAGTGAAATCAGTGACTTTTGTCTAAACCAATAGTCAGAACAGGAGATGGCTAATTTCTACACAGGCTGTATAAAAAGCTTTATTACTCATGAAAGTAGTGCTTGTCTGCTTGCAAAGACAATAGTGAAAACTTTGAGGTACAGAATATAATCAGAGGAAGAATAAAATTTACTTTAGATTTAATTTTAGTGTCTCTTCAGATCCTGGGACTGGTGAAGACTCTGACAGCTCAGGTGACCAAAGATATAGCCCCTCATGCAGAGGACGGTGATGCTCAGCACCAGGTGAACCAGGAGGATAGTGACGGTGATCAAGAGTGAAGAAACATTGTTAACACCCTTTCAATTGTAGTGATTATATTATTGTATGACCTGAAGATGGTTACCGAAACCGGAAACAGGAACTGAAGCACACATTCCCAGCAACTAGACTACAAATTACTAGATGCAGATGTTTAAACCGGGAACAAGACTCAGCTACATGTCTATATCATATTTAAGTATAAATACATTTTTGACTAATTATTCACTGTGTACTAATTTTTCACAGATTGGTCTAAACTATCAAACAATTATTTACATCTTAAAATATGGTAAATATAGTAATGGTGAGAACAGCACAGCTTTCAAAGGGACAGATATATTGAACTTATTTAGAAACTATATGTTTCCATTACAGTAGACTACTCAAAGAAAGTGTTTGAGCCATGTTTGAACCTAGTTATTGTTTAAACAAAGAACTAAGCAATAAAGTCCGTCTCAGTGGGTTGTTAGAAAGTCTGCTGTTCACACCTTAACATCTTGTAGCCTGCCACTCCTGTCAATTATCACCTCCATAAACATGACACTCCTCATTGTTGGCAGTTGTCAATCAAATTTCAACCTTATAACAAAAGATTCTCCTGTTATTTTACCATAGTTTCTGGTATTTTTGTTTGGAATAGTTAAATGAAAATACTGCACTTCATGCAGACCTTTTGAATTGGGTTTGAATCATACTAACTTGATTAGTCATCATACCACCTTCTAAATTAATTTTTAATCAAGTTAGTTATAGTAAACAACAATAAGTGAATTTACCAAACAAATCATCAACCAAGTGATGCACTCATACCTAAGTAAAGATAAGCTGTCCATGCTAAGGAATTTGAAGAAAAATTTGCTGGCAAAACAGCTTGAAAAATTAAGCTACCTACTTGCACCTGCAACTAACCATCATTTCTTGTGAATCGAAATGAAAGTTAAGTTGTGAAAGTTTAAGTTAGTTGACTCCTTACAGATTTTGTACAGAAATAAAATGAAAAATAATACTAACTGGGCCAGTTAACCCTATCCACTTGTATGTAGGCGATATCAGTGTTACTTTCTCCAGAACAAAGTTTTAGTATGCAGCTATACATTCTTATATATAATACATGAAGGCGATTTGTACGAAACATTACTCCTCCGTTAATAATGGACGGATGTTTACAAACGAGAAACGATGTGTAAAAATTAAGTATTTTTTTTTATAGACGCCCCCTTTCACCAATTCCTTTAATAAAAGTCCTCGGGCTTTGCCCCACATGCCATCAAATTCCTAATGTATTTCTTATGAAGAAAATATTTTGTTCACTTAAACGGATAGTTTGTATTAATTACAGCTGTTCATAGTAAATACGTCATGATACGCACAAGAGCATTCGTTTTCAGAGTGAGTTTGTTTTCACTTTTGATAACTGGAGTGGAGTGATTGATTACATTATATTTTTTTGAAATAACGCCTGTAATACTTTGCAATTGCTCAAATTTGGGCAACATGTTCACTAGTATAATTGTAATAATCAACACCTCAAACGAATTAACCTCCCATTAAGACTCAACATGGTGTTTTAATGGATAGTCACCATTAAAAATCCAAATTTAAAAAAGAGAAAAAAGACTCCTGGAGGTACCATGGATTAGAATTTAGTACACACATACCAAATTTCGTCAAAAACGGACCACGTGTGTAGCTCTGTTGTACATATTCACACACACACACACACACACACACACACACAGACATCACTTTGAAAACTTTGTAGGGTTCAGTTTCAGGGGGGCCCAAAATGGATGTTTCCACCCAAAACTTAAAATAGAAAATCTTTAAGATAACAATACTTTCTCCACCCTACTATGTTATATGGAGAGAAAGTACATAAACGATATCAGCAATTTGACACATACTTTCTCCCAGTGTTCGATTTGTAAAAAATGAGGTACCAGAACTGTAATTTATTTTAAGTGATTAGTATCTATTTATGCCAATATTTTTAACTTTCCGAAAGAGAGGTACCTGAACTCCGTTCCTCCGCGTTCCCCTGCAAATGGAGTCCTGCTTTCTCCCATTAGCTTGTCAATGTCATTAGCGTTTATGGTGGGAGTAACTATGATATTTTATAGGGACAATCACAAAGGTTGAAATAAGATGTGAACCGTAATTTTTGCAGCAATAGGGGGTTGTACTATTTTGCTTAGAATTATAAGGACCATAATATACAAATTTGAATCAAAACCGGCTTTTTTCAAAAATCAGATTTTTTTATTTTACGGGGTTTTTAATATAAAAAAATATAAGTTACAATAACTTTTGGACCCTAATTAAATTAGCTTTTTTTACAGCAATGCAAGCTATACCCTTTTGTTTAGAACTCAAAGGAATATAACATAATCAATTTTTATCAAATTGTTCGGGCCATTCTCGAGAAATTTATTTTTTTTTGTTATTTTAGGGGTTTTTATGGGGAAATCACCTTAAAAAAAAATTGGTAAAAAATCCTGGAGATACCATGGATTAGTACCTACGGACAGACACACACACACACACAGACAGACAGACATTACTTTTAAAACCACTTTTTTGGTCCAGGGGACCTCATACGAATATATCCACTCAAACTCAAAAAATATACCAGGCCTAGGGCAGAGGTATAGGGTAAGAAAGTAAAATACCCCCGCCGCAGCAAACCTGCCGACTAAGCGAATTTCCATTTGTCTGAATTGATTTTCAGTTAAATATATTTTAATAACATTAGGTTTAACGAGTACCTAGGTTTGCTGCTACAAGGAAACTAATAAAGTGTGTTTTTGAGTAAAATATTGATAGCTTAGTACAAAATAAATAAATTTGCCAAGTTTGATCAAAATATATTCATAAACAAACAAACTACAACATTTTGACAATATTCTCCATAAGAATAACATGGGAATTTTAAATTTACAATTTGTTTAATTTTCTCCGTTACTAATAATCGAACAAAAATACTTTTATATACTAAATTATTTGTTTTTTTAAGCTCTTTAAAAAGGTCTAAAGAGAAATTGGGAAATTTTGTGTTTTGAGGGTCAAAAGTGAGAAAAACCAATTTTTACCCCATAAAACCCCCCGTAAAGCCCCGTTCCCATGGTCCGATCGTGCTGGTTCGCGAACTCATTCAAGTTTATCCCGCTTTACACATTTAAACCAAATTTCATCAAAATCGGACAAAAATTACTCAAGTTATCGCGTTCACGGACGTATATATATATATATATATATAAGTCTATATATATATATATATATATATATATATATATATATATATACATATATAAAAATGTGAACGAATAGTGTTTTTGGCCTCTGGGGACATCAAAATGAAAAAGTAAATCGGTCCCAGGTCTAGGTCTTGCCGTGCCACCTACGGTAATAGCTACTTCCCTATAGGGAAATTCGCTAAAACTATTTAATATTTTTATTTTTGTAATATCTTTTTGTAACTAGATTTATAAAGTATATGTTATCAATTTTACATACTCCCCACGGATGCCTGTGTGTGAATTATACGGGTTTTATCACTAGAAACTTGTTTATATTTGAGATTAAAGGTCAGCTAACTTTTCAGTTACCCAACAAAAGACTAAGTTTGGCCTCAAGACATTTTTATCACTTCTCAGTAAAGATAAATGTCTCTATTGATCAGCTGATAGCCACATGTTTTTTACTGTACTTTTATCTTGTGCGTACTATTAACTACCACACCAAAAATAGCTGTATAATAAGTGACATGCACATGTATTACTGATGACGTCAAACAAAGAGTGTAATGCTTTGTTTTGATTAGTTGTGGCACACAACTGTAGGTTTGTTTTCAAATAATAAGGAAGCGAATACATTTCAGCTGATGAGCACTAATGCATCTATAATCTTGTTTATTTCAACCAACAACAATATTGTTATTTAGGAGTGGATTTAACTTCTTATTTATGCATCCATTCTTGGTTTGGTTACAAAAAATAAAACAGTGATAATAATATGTTACAGCTTATTCTCCATACTCTGGTTCAAGTAAGCTTATGATCTCAACAAAATTTTATTTGCAAATCATTATTTCCAAGACAACGCCTGGCTCTTTACTTTTGTTATAAGGCATCATCCCTGCCAGTAAATAAGTTATTACATCAAAGTATTGAAAATACAACTTTTGATTTGTTTAACAAAACATCAATTAAAAGTATACAACACCAGATAATAGAAAAGTAAATACCTACCGTACCTAATCATATGTATGGTATTATATCCACTAACATAATAATCACAAACTAGTTGCTCTGCCCGTGCTTCGCTACGGGGTGAGAATGCAGAAAAGAATAATTTGGTTTTACTTTAAGATACTATAATATACTATGATACTTTAATACTTTTTAGTGGAATGGCGACCATACTAAGTAGGTATTTTAAGCCAAGTATGAATGGAGATGAGTGTAGGATGAGTGGCGCGATCTTGTAGTCTTGTTAGTGACTAAGGCCGACATATTCCTTAGACACAGCTGTTAATTAGTAGCCCATACAGCTAATGGCAACTAAGGGACCTACAGTTTATAGTGGAATCCGAACCACATTTTTGCCTTTGGTATATTATATAATGTATATAATGAGAAACAGTTACAACACACTTACCAGGAAACATAAAAATAGGCAAAAGCTCAATCCTGCTTATTGATTATTTAAATTCAGATCTCTTAATGTATTACAGTACTATCATTTTATATAGTGTATAGCATTTAAAATATATGCAAAAGTATAATTCATTGACCACATGGCACCAAGAAACAATTCTCCTTGTAAACAAATCCTTATATATAATACGTGAAGGCGATTTCTACAAAACACTACTCCTCCGTTAATAATGGACCGATTTTTACAAACGACGTGTCAAAATAAAGTATTTGTTGTGTCGACGCCCCCTTTCAACAATTCCTGTAATAAAAATCCTCGGGCTTTGTCCCACAGGCCATCAAAGTTGGAGTTTCTCCCATAAGGTTAACATGGGGGAATCTAAATATTTAACTGGAAACTTTGTCCCCACTAATTTGAGAGAACGGCTGGGCGTAGAAACTTGGTAGATGTGTCCAAAGAAAGACCTTGGTCTGTAGATGAGTTATCAAAAGAAAAACTAAGCAAAATCCCTTAGGACTCTGCCCCAGAAGCCTTTAAAGATCCCTCCTCAGAGTTGTTTACATTTTGGCCATGTGAATAATACTTTTTAATGAAACAGCTGTTCATTTTTAAATTGTATTTCAAACAACACACATTTATTGGGAGTTACTGAATTCTACCAAATAAGTATTTGCAGTGTTATTTTCTTATTTTAATAGTATATTACGTTACTAGTCCTGAAAATAAGTGTTTACTGGACGAGTGTGGTCGTTCCCGTGCGAGACGAAGTCGGGTACGGGATTACCATACGAGTCCGGTACACATATTTTGGACGAGTTACGTACGATAGTTTACGCCATACTACTTAATCCGTACAAATCCTTATATATTTCCACCAACTAAAGGAGTAAAAATCACTAGTCATAACCTCCAAGAGAGGTTATGTTTTTGTTTATAACCACTCATTGCCACGCAAATACAAGTATAATCAGCTGATTGGTGTCCGGTAAAACTCATTGCAGAACAGTAGTACGCAATGAAACCCCATTTGAATAAGCTGGCGGCAAACAGCTGTTTTCTGGACTAAATCCTTGCGTGGAAAGTTCGTCAAAATAGTGTAGTGTGGCGTAAAATAGATTTTCTTCTTTATCATGTCATGTTTTGCAATATAACGTTCCATTACGAAATCAGTGGAAAATCTTTTTATCACAGCAATTCTTAAATAATTTCTTATTGAACTATCTTATATCTATTGTACGGGTTGGTGTCTGCCTCTTTCGCCACTTTTGCCTACATTTTATCATATTATTCTACACATATCAAATATTTATGTAGAAATATCTGCACTTATCGTCTAATAAAATCCAAACATAGAAACCTGCTTGCCTAAAATGGTACCCATCTTGACAAATTATTTGCACCTGCCTATATTACGGACTTTGGCGGGGTTTTGGTGTTAGGTTGGTAACGTTATTAAAAATAACACAACATTTTGGCTGTAAAATATGATACAAAGAGAAAATACTATTTAAGCAGCTACTATCATGACAGAAAGGTCATATTCCTTTTAAACTAGATTACATAATCCTTTATAAGATACGGCAATTAACAATATGTAAACGTCAATATATACGTAACAGCCAATTTACAGTATTTTTGCTTTTTGGAAATGTCCCATTGCTATGTCATTTGCACTATTTGTTGCCAATGAAGCCGCCAAGACCATATGAACTAGGAGGCCCCTAACAGTTCAAGAATAAAAGCCAACTTCACTTCAAGTATATTCCACTACACCTAACATTCCGTAGAGAGATTATATTGACAACTTTATGTTATTGATAAGGCTGAGACAACTAACTGACATCCCCCATGTCAAGGAATTCCACCTTCAACAGTAACCCCACAATCAATTTCTCAAAACTATGCTAGAGGGTTCATTCATTGGCACAGAAGTACGATATGAACTGACGCGACGTGACGAAGGAAAAATCAAACTTACACTGTAACGGATATAACTCCCTTTGAAGTTAGAATACGTCTTCCCAAAAAATATTTTCTTTTCAAATAAAATCATATTACACTGATGAAATCACGGTGTTCTTACAAGAGTGTTTAACTACAAAAGATCCACCAATACGATTTTAATACTATATAAAGGTTCTTCCAAAGGAAGAGATACCATATAACATACTAATAATAACTCCGATGACGTACAGTATGGAAAATAATTTAATCATTGAATGATCAACCAAATTTGGCAACTAACGCAATTATACAAATTATTAATACAATTATCGTTTTACTCTTTAAACAATGCTCAAAATATGTATATGTCACAAAATTTATCGCAGTTAGATGAATTAACGTAAGCCTTGAAAGTAACCGTCGATTTCGACGGGTTTCACCTAGTTAGCATTTCTGACAACAGCTGTAGTTTCATAACAATGTTTGTTTCCCATGTTAATCTTATGGAGAAATGCAAAACTTTAAAGGCCCCCAGGCCTCACTCTCTAATTGTTTCCCTAAAAAGAAAGTTTGCTGCACAACTTCACGTTGCGCTCTTTCCAATAACACCAAAAACATGTCAATCGGTTCAGTAGTTTCGGAGGAGTAATTGTCACAAAAAACCTGCTTGCGTATTAAATAAGTACTAGTGTACATGTTGCTCGAATTCGAGCAATTGTAAAGTATTACAGGATTTGCAAACCAATAACAATCATACTTAGCTATCAACATTTCAACAAAAACACACCTACCTTCCCTGTAGCAGCAAACCTAAGTACTAATATTAAAATTAACTTAATGTTATTTAAATAGGAAAAAAAATACCATTTTAAGGGAATAATTAATCTTTGTATTAATTAAGCCAGGTAAATGGAAATTCGCTTAGTCTGAAGGTTTGCTGCGGATACACAATTTTAATAACAGCAAAGATTGAAGAATCTGAATTATTACTTATATCCATGAATTTGTCTAACAATTATTTCCTGTAAAATATTATTACAGCAGTTAAAAAATATTGAAACAAACTCGATCAACAAATGATGTTGAAAGAATTCCATACTAATGACATTAACATATAGTTTGACAGTTCCATTTAATCAATGTTAAATGTTTACATTCGGGCATAGACAAAAATGATTCGGGCGAGTGACATATTTGATTAATGTTTATGATCCCTACCGTTCCTGTTCTAATAATCATGCAGTATTTAATATGTTTGAACCAGCTGTGTGGAATTGTGAAATCAAAATTAATTTGACAGTTAGTTCTGCTTGTTTACATTTTTAAATTTTGTGGGTTTGTTCTTTGTTACCATGGATACCATCAATAAATATTTCACTCTTAATTTCTGACAACAGCTGGAGTTCCATAAACAATTTTGTTTTCCATGTTAATCTTATGGATAAATACGAAACTTTAAGGGGCCCCAGGGCCTCACTCTCTAATTATTTCCTTAAAAAGAAAGTTTCCTGCACAACTTCACGTTACGCTCTTTCCAATGACACCAAAAACATGTCAATTGGTTCAGTAGTTTCGGAGGAGTAATTGTCACAAAAAAACCTGCTTGCGTATTAAATAAGTACTAGTGTCCCTGTTGCTCGAATTCGAGCAATTGCTATGTAAATATTTGTAGCAAACTGTTATAATACTATATTAGCAAACTTATTGACTGTTTAGGATTAACCTATGCTCTTCTTCTCACTTTTGATTTCTGACAACAGCTGGAGTTTCATAACAATTTTTGTTTCCAATGTTAATCTTATGGAGAAATACGAAACTTTAAAGGGCTCCAGGGCCTCACTCTCTCATTATTTCCCTAAAAAAAGTTTCCTGCACAATTTCACGCTACGCTCTTTCCAATGCCACCAAAAACATGACAATCGGTTCAGTAGTTTCGGAGGAGTAATTGTCACAAAAATCCTGCTTGCGTATTAAATAAGTAATAGATAGATGTCTTATCCATACAGTATTTACACCAATTTTATTTTATATAATTTCTTGAAGATCAAACGTTCTTCAAAGGTTTATCAATTTAAATAATTACACCTCCCTCTGTTTACAAAGGTTAGTTATACAAGTTTGTATTCATTCCAAAACTTTGGACTGCTCCTGTCCAAATCAATATTTAAACACAAGTAAATCTCTTATCTTTGGTAGTATGAATGGTGATTGTGTGGAGCAGTCAGCAGTAGAGGTGATAACTAATGTTAAGTAAACTGAAGGTCAGTGACAACTGTCTACTGTGTTACCGTCACTCGTCAGTCAGCCAGAGCCAGGCTACACTTGATGTGACAGTTTAGCCAACATGACTGCCGGCTCTAAACTGTTGAGGCGATCCATCAAATGTGAGTCTGAGTATATTATCTTTTTTGTAATATTTGCAGGGCAGTATTTATACATACATACAGCGTTTATTCAATTAATACAAAATAATTTTGTTTCTGAGGTGTTGCCTTCCATAACAAATGTTGTACAAACAACACAATTTGGACAAACAAATTTTGTAGTTTGAGACAAAATAATTGTCTGGTTGTCCGAGTGGCTTGCTTTCAAGTCTTAAAATTGCTGGTTCGATTCGATAAATTTTGATCCTATCTGACAAAAAGTAGACGTTAGATAGTCCTTACAGAAAACGTAATAAATGTCAAATGTGTAAAAAACACGAAAACTGTAAATAAAAATAGCTTAAACCGATTTGACATTTTGTAACTGTAGGTATTATTCTATTCACTAAATATTTAAAAGACGGTATTCATGCAAATGTTATATAAAGTTTGCTGGATAAATATATCTGACTAATAAATATATCTTAATCTACTGCAGAAGTATTATCTCTAAATTAAAGATAAAATTCTCTCAAGTCTAACAATTTTGCTTGAACCAAATTATTTGAAGCTGATAGGTATGTTTGTAAACTTTTCTTTCATAAGTATGAGAATGCAAAATCATCATAGTGTTTTATTCAAAACTCAATGATTAAATCGTAACTAAAAGCCTTAACTTCTCATTGCAACAATGAAGAAAACTATATAATCTTTAAAGAACTGCTTGAAATCTAAACAAAAATACATCTATAGATTATATATACGGTACATCTAATATCTCTGTAAAAGTAATTAGAACACAAATTTGAAAAGTTTTACTAGAATTGAATATGTTTGGATATTGTCAACAACAATTTCACAGCATCTTCAGTGATAAAACCAAGACTAATAGAGGTCTGAATGCATATATGCTGTGGATGTGACAAGGTAATAAGAAAGACAGATAATAAGAAATCCTGTAAATAATCTTAAGAATTCTATTAAGCCGAATGTTATAAATGTTTTTGAAACCAACATGTGGAATGCCATTGATGTATATAGAAATGATCCATCTGCAGCATTTGCTCACACCATTTCAAGCGACTTAGATCACAGCAAAAATATGTCTGCTGGTGTAGCAGTTGTGTTTCGGAAGAAATTTGGTAGGCCTCAATTACAAAACTATGTAAACTCTAAGCTTATGTGCCAGGTTGTGCCCGATGGTGCAACTGTGTACAGTCTGGTTACAAAGCAAGAGTACTGTAATAAACCAACAGTTGAAGATTATGATGAAGCATTTAACCAGCTTATTGAAGATTTCCAGAAGAAAAAATTTAAACTGTTGGTTTGTTCTGCTATGGGGTGTGTACGGGACAAGATACGTATGGAGCGCTTTTCTACAAATATTAAAAAGCTGTATGAAATCACCAACGCTACAATATGTGTAGTGTCATATGACCAACCGACGGCTAGAAGACAACTGTGGAATGGACTTCCACACTATCAGTTTTTGGAAAAACTAAAAAACTGTATTGGCAACCATGGTGTAAAACTCTTGTCACCACATGAGGAATGCAGTCCATCTACAGGGGTTCAGTCACCAACTGAGGGATCTGTGCAGCCTGAGGAGAGCAAACTGGATACCACCAACTACTCCAACACCAACCTACAGCTGTCCAGTCCTGTTACCAAGCCGACCACTCCGCTGAGACCAGCAGACCTGCAGGACCAATCATGTCTACCATTGTCACCTAACATGTCTTCCATGGAGGAATTTCCACCGCTACCATCTTCAATACTGCTTGAAAAGGCTCCTGATGGTGTAGTGGGTTGTGATTAAAGTGTAGGTGATAATAGTCATTTTTTATTGGAAACCTTAACGCCAGTGAAACATGTCTAGTATTAGAAACCTGTAATAATGATGTTGATTATGGTGATGTCACCTCTGAGAAATGTGGCATAAAACCACTCAGAAATACCTTCCAAAATCATAATATTTGTCAAGATGGGTTAGATATTTTGTTCCTAAATATTCAGGGTTTAAATTTTTCTAAAATATGTACTTTAGATAGTTTTTTAATTAATTCTAAGATTAATATTATATGTTTATCTGAACATTGGCTTTCTAACAATGGGGTTGATCAAAGCTTTCCAGAAAATTTTTACTGTGCTAGTGCCTTTTGCAGATCTGCACATATCAGAGGAGGCACCACCATATTTGTACATAATAAGTATAAGTCCAGAATTTTTGATGTTGGTAGGTTTTGCAAGGAATTGACTTTTGAAGCATCAGCTGTTTTTATTGATGAATTAAAATTAATCATAGTATCTTTGTACCACTCTCCTAATGGAAATTCCAATGAGTTTTTAACGATCATGGAAGAGCTTTTACATTTCATATCTAATTGGACTAGTTACAATATAGTGATGGGTGGGGATTTTAATAACAAATTCAACATTCAAAATAAAACTAAAACTGTAACAGAATTACTTAACCTCTTTAAACAATACAATTTTTATTATCTAAATGATAAACCAACAAGAGGGGACAAATGTCTTGACAACGTTTTTGTTTGTAAAAAAAGGGCCTCAATTTGTTTTAAAGGTATTTTTGATTTTCCCTACTCTGATCATAGTGGAGTAGTTATTAATTTTTGTCCACCCAGGAAAACTAAACAAACAGTTCCTACAATGACAGAACATGTTCCACAGGCTAAGTTTAGAGTAGCCTTACGTAGTATTAATAATTTATGTAATAATTTAGCTTCATATGATTGGCAAGACTTGTTATTAAAACTTTATTATATGGAGTCGGAAACTAAATTTCAATTTGTCTTCAATATATTACTTAATAATTTGAACTATTTTAAGACCCCAGTGAAAAGAAAATATGACAACAAGCCAAATTGTAAAATTAAATTCAAACAAGAATGGTACACAGCTGACTTAGCGTATATTAAGCAAAAACTGTTGAACCTGTATAATTTAAAATGTGGTTTAAATGATTCAAGTAATTATAAGTTCATTATCAATGTTGAATATGAAAGATTGAAATTGCAATATAAAAGATCCATAAAAGAAGCCAAACTAATGTATAATGTGTACCTCATCAGTGGCGTAACAGCCGCCCCCGCAGACCCCGCGGTGCGGGGGGGCCCGCGAGGTTTAGGGGCCCGCGAGGTTAAGATACCCTTTTCTCATAAAACCGTCCGTAAAACCGATCCTTTGTTCACAAATGTTTTTCTCTCCTGACAAATTATAAATAAAAAAACGATGTGTTGGTAGATACTTTTATTCTGCCAAATCTACTAAAGTTTTATCTTTTAATTAACAATATTGTTAACGAAACGCCAACGCTCACTACGATCACCCGACGATGTGTATTGTCAGTATGGTTGTGTAGCTTCATGCTAGCGCTAGGAGCTGTGTGCCGGGCCTGCCGCCGCGCCGTGGCGACACACACTCGGAGCCAGCCCCTCGGCCCTCCCCCCTCCGACACTAACCGCTCACGTGTACTCAGCTGACCGTAGATCACCTGATTTTGGAGATCCATTCCATGCAGATTGCAGATTGCGAGTGACTCGTCAGTAGTGCATGTCGCGAGAGTTTCTCAATCAGGTGGCATGGCATTAAATTGGCCAAATTGGGCTAATTTAGTGAAGCACTAACATTTACAGTTGGGACCACGAAAGTTTGCAGTTGGCGGCAGCCAATCACAAGACTAGTGCGACGTTGCCATATCGCCCTTTGACGACACTAATTAAAATACTAAACAACATTTTTTAAACAGCTGGTATTATTCGATTTGGCAACACCGCACTGCCCTCATTGGCTCATTTGAAGTCAAATGGTAAATATGCTACTCCCTCAACTGCAAACTTTCGTGGTCCCGACTCAAATTATAGTTGGAAGCTTGGTTGAGTTTAGTAATGAATGTGAATGGTGGAGTAATGGAGTAGCCCATATATATTAATCACGGACATAACTCCCAAGTTTATTATCACTGTGACAGTGACAAAATATAAAATATGTTTCAAGGACGACTCTGGTCGTGTGGTTGAAGAATAGGTAAATACTTGATATTGCTAGAGACCATCCTCTGCCAGTCTGATCGTGTAGGCCGTATGCCTGCCGTCACCTACGTCATGTGATAGTTGTGGTGTGGTGATGGTTGTGGTATATAGTGCTGTGGTGGGGAATGGGAGGGGTAGTAGGGGGCCCACAGACATATTTGCGGGGGGGCCCGGGGAAATACTGTTACGCCACTGTACCTCATAGAAAGTAGCAATAACCAATGTAAAGCAGCATGGGATCTTATAAAGAAAAACAAAGTGTGTTCTGAAAGGCTTCCTTTAACTATTGAGTCTGATGTCCTTAACGACTACTTTATTAACTCTATTGCTGATATTAAACTACAGCTTGATAACACAAAAATGCAGAGCTCACCAATAGACCTTACTGATGGTGGTATTAATTTAAACGATGTTGCATTTAGTTGGAAAATTGTAACGCCTTTAAATGTTATTAATGCAGTTCTAAAAATGAAAAACTCAAAAAGTGATGATGTTTATGGAATGTCAAATAATTTACTTAAAAATATTATTTATAGTTTACATGTACCTCTTGCTAATTGTATAAACTCATTGTTAGAAGCTGGAGTATTCCCAGACTTGTTGAAGGTCTCACGTGTTTGTCCAGTCTATAAGAAGGGTCCAAGAGATAAACCCCAAAGTTATCGTCCTATCTCAGTAATTCCGGTAATTGGTAAATTAATTGAAATCTTGGTCTTTGAACAGGTTAATGAGTATTTTGAGGAGAACAACTTGTTTAATGTATCCCAATTTGGATTTAGAAAGGGAATGTCCACTATTGATGCTCTTGATAATCTAATTCGTCAGATTCATGGGGCATTTGAAAATAGGTTGTTTGCTCAGGGCACTTTTTGTGACCTGAGCAAGGCGTTTGATTGCGTTGATTTTAAAATTCTTATAAACAAATTACAAAATTATGGGTTTCGAGGGCCATCTCTACAATTCTTTTCATCTTACCTAAACAATCGTAAACAAATAGTAAGTATTAATGGCAATACGTCACAAGAAAAGAATGTAAAATGGGGCATTCCCCAAGGCTCAGTCCTTGGTCCACTTTTATTTTTAATTTATTTTAATGACCTTCCATTGGCAGTAAAGAGTCAAACTATTCTTTATGCTGACGATACAACATTTTTTCATGTAAACCCCAACCTAACAGAACTAAAAAATCTTGTCCATGAAACAAAGCTAAAAGCATCAAATTGGTTTAATGCGAATGGTTTTTTGCTTAATGAAGAAAAAACCCAAAACATGATTTTTACACTAAAACAAATCCCCACTATGAGTGATCTAAATAATAGCACAGCTGTAAAATTTTTGGGCCTTCAAATTGATAATCAACTCACATGGAATGCTCACATAGATTATTTATCTTCAGGATTGTCTCGTGTGGTGCATCTTTTAGATCGTCTTGTAAATCAGGTTCCTAAGAAATATGTAAGGACGGCCTATTTTGCGTACTTCCAGTCAATCATGAGATACGGATTGGTGCTTTGGGGTGGTAGTGGTAGAATAAAAGAAATTTTGATTCTCCAAAAAAGGGCTTTAAGAGCTATGACTGGGACGCACCCTGATCATTGCAAACCTCTTTTTATAGATCTACAAATTCAAACTGCAGTAAATTTGTTCATTTATGATCTGATTGTTTATATATTAAAAAACCCTGAATATCTTCAATTTAATAATCACAGTCACAACACTCGTTTTAAAAATACTGTGCTGTTAGAATCCCATCGTCTTAGTAAAACTAGTAATTGCCACATAATTTTATCAATTAAAGTATATAATTCAGTAAAAAATAATCTAAATTTTCATTCAATTAACAAATTTAAGGCTATGTTTTATAATTATCTACTTCAGAACCCTTTTTATAGTCTGGATGATTATTTTAAACTGGGAGAAATTGTCCTTTAGTTTGGTTTTAATTTCAGTTAAGAATGTGAATGGAGTTGAATGTTAATTGTAATATTCAATAGTATGTTTATTTTAAGACTTGGTTTGAAAACTGCAAATAGACTTTGTCAATGATATGTAAATGTATCCTTATGGCAAATAAAGATTGATTGATTGATTGATTTGATTTAGGGACAATTACCTACTTTTATACAAAAGGAGATTAGGGTCATAATATACTTTAGTATTTTTCCATATCACCCAAATAAACAATTACCACTGACCAGTTTTTTTAGAAGCCATGTTTAGAGGTGACATTATTTTGTAATTAATCTGAAATATGCATAATACAGAAGAACCTTGATAACAAGACTCTCATGGGGATTATAAAATAAAAGGTTGTCTTCTTATCGAGGTTTGCAATAACATGTGATTAGGGGTAAAATAAATTCTAGGGGGTTTAAAAATTACACTTGTTATCAAGGGTGACTTGTTATCGAGGGTCTTCTTATCGAGGTTCCACTGTATAACTGAAGTTCTTCTAAAACGTTTCTCTTGGAAATAATAGAATTACCAAATCAATTTAATGTAGATATTGTTCTGTTTGATATAGATGCATTCATCCAAAAGTCTGCTTTTAGCAGCAAAGCTACCTCCACATCTGAGCAAATCTTCACAAGAGAAGACAAGTACGGAGCTCACAACTATCATCCTCTACCTGTAGCTCTATCTAGGGGACAGGGTGAGTTTAGTACTGTATAACTATCATCCTCTACCTGTAGCTCTATCTAGGGGACAGGGTGAGTTTAGTACTGTATATAACATAACTATCATCCTCTACCTGTAGCTCTATCTAGGGGACAGGGTGAGTTTAGTACTGTATATAACATAACTATCATCCTCTACCTGTAGCTCTATCTAGGGGACAGGGTGAGTTTAGTACTGTATATAACACAACTATCATCCTCTACCTGTAGCTCTATCTAGGGGACAGGGTGAGTTTAGTACTGTATAACTATCATCCTCTACCTGTAGCTCTATCTAGGGGACAGGGTGAGTTTAGTACTGTATATAACATAACTATCATCCTCTACCTGTAGCTCTATCTAGGGGACAGGGTGAGTTTAGTACTGTATATAACATAACTATCATCCTCTACCTGTAGCTCTATCTAGGGGACAGGGTGAGTTTAGTACTGTATATAACACAACTATCATCCTCTACCTGTAGCTCTATCTAGGGGACAGGGTGAGTTTAGTACTGTATATAACACAACTATCATCCTCTACCTGTAGCTCTATCTAGGGGACAGGGTGGGTTTAGTACTGTAACAAAGTAACAAAGCTACACAGATCATCTCACACCATTCTACACTCATCCTTCACTCATATTTGGGTTAAAATACGCACCTAAGTGGCGTCCCCATCTTAATAATTGATAATTGATAATTGATAATAATTGTATATAACACAACTATCATCCTCTATCTATAGCTCTATCTAGAAAACAATCACAGCGTAAGAAACACAGTTTACCTAGTGAACAAACTATCAGGCGCAAAGCTCAAAGACTCCTATATTTTAGCTTCATTTGATGTCGTGAATTTATTCACAAACGTTCCTGTAAATGAAACAATTGCCTTGCTTAAGAACAACTCGAACAAAAATTCCTCACTTTCAACAAAAGCTAAGCATGAGCTTAAAACTCAAACTGTTCTAAAACAAAATTATTTCATGTTTGAAAACAAGATTTAAATCGAAAATGAAGGACTAACCATGGGATCACCTCTTTCGAGCATTCTATCCGAATTATTCTTATATTATTATTATCATCTCTTGTTTTCGTAGAAAACAAACATCTTTGGTCTGATTCAAACCGACACAAACACACAATAATCCACTACAATAGGTACGTTGAGGATACTCTTGTACTATTTAACGGCAACGGCATGCAACTAAATTTACTCCACGCATACCTAAATAGAATACATAAGAACCTACAATTCACCCTCGAAATAGAAAATACAAAGTCCATCAACTTCCTGGATGTCACAATAACCAGAAACAATACCTAGCCAATTACAGTTCAAAATCTATAGAAAACCAATGACCTCAGACCAGACTATTTATTCACAATCACACGACCTGCATAACCATAAAATCGCTGCTTATACTGTAATAGTTTTGTACACCGCATACTCTCCATCCCATTGAGCCCAACTGATTACATCGATGAAGTAAATGTCTTAAAACACATCGCAGTCGCCAATGGTTACAACAGTTTCCTAATCGATAAACTGATTAATAAACAACAAAATAAAACCAAAAACCAACCGCAAGGCAACAAAAGATACATCAGTGCAGATTATGGTGTTGTATTAAATCACACCTTAACAAACGAACTTGCAAAAAGAGATGTCATGGTAGCATTTAAAACAAAGATCAAACTTTTAAACCTGATCAATGAGAGAATAAAACTCGATTCTGATAAAATGAATAAAACTGGAATTTACAAATTGATATGTGATGATTGTCCTAATTTTAATATAGGTCAGACAGCAAGATCGTTTTCCACCAGGTTTAAAGAACACATACCAAAGAAAAACTCAAAATCAGCCTACGCAAACCATCTTATCTCCTCAATTACATCAACATACATTATAACTTAGAAATAGTACATTTTTGCAGCAAAGGACGTTACATGGACACTGTTAAAGAGTTCAGAATTTATAAAGCATCAAAAAGTCAATCACAAAACATTCTGAACAAGAAATTGTCATTAGAATCTAACATTATTTATACTGCTATCCATATTACCAATAAGCAGACAAGAAAAAGACAAGGTGAGGATAGCACAGGGGTAGGGGTCAACTGCCGACACGTGACAGTCGCAAACCTAAGTACTCATTAAGCCTAATTTTATTTAAATAGAAATTTGATATTTTTTAAGAACATATTTTAAAGAATAGAATACCTATTCAGGCAAATGTAATTTGCTTAGTCTGCAGGTTACTGCAGTTGGAGGGGGGAAGGTTATATTTTAAAATGTTGTCTTAATCCTATACTCTAATACAAGCAATGTTTGCTTGTATGTATGTATGTATGCTTGCTTGCTTGCTTGCTTGTACCAAGATCTCGAAAACGGCTCCGACGATTTTCTTCAAATGTTGTAAATAGATTATTTTTGGCCTAAAAACGAGTTTACTACAGTTACAACTGCCAACAAAAATCTAATTACGTAGAAAAATGAAACTGAAAGTCACATTTTTTTAACATTAGTCTTATGGGCTGCTAAGTAACCATGTTGGTTGAATTAAATAACAAGGAAAAACTAAACAAAAGACTTGTTAGTTGTAACACATGTGTTCATAAAGGCATCTACCCGCAGTCTACTAGAAATTACAAAATACAGTACAAAAGCAAAAACATCACTTGTTACTATTGAGCAATGATTATACTGAAGCTTACTCGATACATTGTATTAAAGGCTAACAATTAGCAGTGCGGAGTGTGGGATCTGTTATGGCGATTAGATTATGGTAGATTTCCCATCCTTATGGAACAGCTGAAGCCAATTTTATTTGTTAGTTCTGTCCGGTTTTCTGTAGATGTCGTGCTTTGTTTACAATTTGTTCCTTGTTATTTCAGTAATTTACAACCTCGTTTAACCAAATAATACTATTTAAACATAAACGATAACTCTTTCACTATATTACCGTACTATATTACTATAGTTGGCTATATAACCAAACAGTGAGACACAAATAATGAGAAACTAACCCTAAAATAATATAAACAAATTGTAAACAAAACACGACAACTATAGAAAACCAGACAGAACTAACAATAAAAGTGGCTTCAGCTGTTCCATAAGGATGGTAAGGTATCTGCAATCCTAAAATGCTATGAGATGGTAAGGAAACAGGTTCGCGACGTAGGAAGTGGTGAAGGAAGTAGTCAATGCGAGCTATCCTGAGTGCGGGAACTGTTTATGACGATTAGATTAAGGTATCTGCAATCCTAAAATGTTATGGGAAGGGAGGAAAACAGTTCCGCGACGTAGGAAGTGGTGAAGGAAGTAGTAAAGGTGAGCGATCCGGAGTGTGGGAACTGTTTATGACGATTAGATTAAGGTATCTACAATCCTAAAATGCTATGGGAAGGGAGGGAAACCGGTCCCTGACGTAGGAAGTGGTGAAGAAGTAGTAAAGGCGAGCAGTCCGGAGTGTGGGAACTGTTAATGACGATTAGATTAAGGTATCTACAATCCTAAAATGCTATGGGAAGGGAGGAATACAGGTCCGAGACGTAGGAAGTGGTGAAGGAAGTAGTCAAGGCGAGCAGTCCGGGGTGTGGGAACTGTTTATGAGGATTAGATTAAGGTATCTGCAATCTTAAAATGCAATGGGAAGGGAGGGAAACAGGTCCGCGGCGTAGGAAGAGGCGAAGGAAGTAGTAAAGGCGAGCAGTGTGGAGCCTGGGAACTGGAAACCAATTAATTGTAACAGTTAGATTTATGTTTCTGGAATTGAGATACTGAAATGCTATGAGAAGGGATGGAAACATGTCCAAGACATAGGAAATGGTGAAATAAGTAGTAATGCTAGCAGTGCGGAGTGTGGGAAATGTTTGTGGCAATTAGATTAATGTATTTAAAATACTAAAATGCTATGGAAAGAGATGAAAACTGGTACACAACGTATGAAGTAGTAAAGTTTAGCATCGCTGAGTGTGGGAACCGTTTGTGGCAGTTAGATTAATGTATCTGTAATACTTAAATGCTATGAGAAGGGAAGGAAACAGGTCCATGACGTAGGAAACGGTGAAGGAAGTAGTAAAGGCTGGCATTGCAGAGTGGGGGAATGATTTTCCCCGAGCAAAGCTCGGTCCCCAGGTACTTGATTACTTATTGCTCCAAGATATTTTTAAGCGAGTGTAAAGTAAACACAGTAATTTTTTTGTACAAAAATCACAAAGCTCAAACTACAGCACAGAACTATTAATGTACTCATTACAATTTAATTTTTTTACCGTTTTTGATCAATTATTTGCGAGTTATACACTATTACTGGAAGACTCAAGTTTTGATTTTTATACATACTATTTTCCGACTAAACTGGTGGTTCTGTAAATTTTCAAGTTCATTATATTCTGTTTGTTTAAGTGTGGGAGGATAGGTACCGTAACAATATTAGAGTCATCAGTTCCTACTTAGTATAGTATCGTACAAAGGTTAGTTCCGACTCCTCCAATTGCAGGAATATATGTTTGGGATGTCGAGGGAAAGAAGTATTTTGACTTCTTAAGTGCCTACTCAGCTGTCAACCAGGGCCATTGTCACCCAAGGATCATTGCCACATTGAAGGACCAAGCTGAGGTCCTCACTCTCACCTCACGAGCCTTTTACTCCGACGTGCTGGGCGAGTATGAGGAGTACGTCACCAAGCTCTTTGGCTACGACAAAGTTCTGCCGATGAACACTGGTGAGAACGTGGATATTATCTTACTCATCCTAAATTGTATGCTAATAATAATATGAGTTATTTATAACATTTCAGTGTAATTTTTATTGTTTAACTTCTTCTAAGTATCTATTAAAGAGTAAATAATACACTAAAATTGCATTTTCTAACTTACGATTTCTTGTAACACATTTTCTTTTTCTTAAATGTTAAATTAAACCTGAAATGAGATCAAATCAGTTGGATTTATATGTTTAAGAAAATATACAATTTTATCCTCTTAAACATTTTACACCAAACACAATTTTTATTGTGCTCCCTTTTGGTTTTACTTTCACAAAGTTTTTTTGTTTGTATTAGGAGAAAAGGAAATTCATCACCAGTCACAGACTTTATAATCTTTTCTTTTGTCTTGATTTAGGAGTGGAGGGAGGTGAGACAGCGTGTAAACTTGCAAGGAAATGGGGTTACAAGAAGAAGAAAATTCCTGATCACAAAGCCAGGATATTATTTGCTGAAGGAAACTTCTGGGGTAGAACTCTTTCAGCTGTTTCAAGCTCCACCGATCCAACATGCTACGAGGGATTTGGCCCTTTCATGCCTGGGTTCTCAATCATACCTTACAATGACTTGGCTGCTCTGGAGGTAATGATTTATCAAGAGTGTAACATACATTTATTTTTGGTCAAATGTTTTTTATAACTTGATATTGGAACACACTGTGATGAGTGCACTAGAACTGCAGACATTGTAATGTACAATACTAATGGTGAATGAACCCATATGTAGAGCGGCGTAGCGTTTAGTTAATAAAAATAATAATCTGCACTCAGATACCACAAATAATGACATCATCCAACGACATGAACTGAATGCATTTGAATCTTCTGTAAATTAATCTGAATTGACCTACAAGATATAAATCTCCTTAAAAATTGTTTTATTAATCAATAGAAAACAGATTGTTTTATAAGCTACTATTATACTCACTCTACTATTATAATATTACTTTGAAAATTTGTTCCTGCTCATGCCTGTGTTAAGGCCTGCATACATAACTATTTACAGTTCACTTTATTTATATTAGAAACTATATAACAAATTGGTGTATATGTTTTATTTAATTTCATTTAGTTGTTAAATAATGAATTGTTGTTATTATTTTACATATACTGACATTGATTTGGCAGAGAGAGCTGAAGGACAGTAATGTGGCTGCATTCATGGTAGAGCCTATCCAAGGTGAGGCTGGTGTCAATGTGCCTAGTGACGGGTATCTGAGGGGAGTGAGGGAGCTGTGTAGCAGATATAACGTGCTGTGGATAGCTGACGAGGTACAGACAGGTCTGTGCAGGACTGGCCGCATGCTGTGTGTCGACCATGAGAATGTCAAACCTGATATCCTCATCCTTGGCAAGGCTCTCTCCGGAGGAGTATACCCTGTGAGTATTTAGACACTGGAACAAGTTGTATTAGCTCAGTAGAAAAAAAAATAGGAACATGTAATAACAAATAGCACACGTTCAAAAATCTTACTTTAAATGCAAGTAACAACAACAAAAATTGTGTTTAACAATTTACTTTTTTCTTTGTAAATCTGTTAACCATATTATTGAGCGGAGGGAGTGAAGCTCTTTGAGATCGGAACTTATGAAAACTATGTAATCAGATAACTCAATAACGGATGAACATATTATAGCCAAACTTTCCAGGGTTATTTAGACAAACAGTGAGCATGTTTGTACACAAACAAATTTCAATTTGTTAATGTCTGTACAAATTAAAACTAATCTAAAATTTTTAACATTGGCCTTAAGGGTTGCTATGGATGGTTACCAATTAACAAAACAATGTAAATGTAAATAAAGAAAGACTAATGACATTAGGTTATGACAAACCATCTACAGTACGCTAGCAAATTACAAAATACAGTACAAAAGAGAACAGTCCAATTAATGCCATTGATCATTGATTTTGGCATCAATGAATCCGGCAACCTATGCCGTAGGAAGCTATCTGGCTGTACTATAACTGTATTATCCGGATTATTAATACTCTTAGGTTGTATTACTGAGAAATGGTATACGCCTATATAATATGAATGTTTACCTAAATGTTTTACCATTGGCGGAAAATAAGTTATTTACTGTCTGGATTCTGAGAATGATTCATGTTAGAAATGTTAGAGTGTGCTGATGTCGACTAAATTATTTATATGAACATAACAAATAATATTGATCCATGCAAATAGGAGTTAAAAAACAATTTTAATCAGCTACTTTAACCAGCGAACACAGAATAATAACTTAATTCAGTATTGTAGAACGGGCATGAACATTAATTAAGCGATACAAAATGTTTTGGTAATCTTTGGTTTGTTGTAGAAGTGATGCAAGAAGGATGCAATGCCTCGGAATCGGCAAAAAATAGTAGAGTAGACGTTATAAATTTACTATTGATTTTGACAACCTTATCATATTAAGATAACATTTTGAAAATAGGAAGACAGCTTGAAAATAATCCCGTCATACAAAGAGTATATTTTTAAAACTAATATTTGGTTCAATAATATTAAAAGTTTTTTTTTTTATAAAAACTGGAAACGAGACATGAAAAACTTAGTCAACTAATAACATTATCTTTTTTGGTCAGAGAAGTTTTATCCGTGGTAAACAGGGCCGGTTTAACCCATACGCGAACTGAGCGGCCGCATATGGCGCCACAAAAAATTGGCGCCATGGCGCCAACGGAATTTTTTTTTTTTTTTAGTGAACAACGTAATTTTGTTTATTTTCGCTCAGAGTTCAGCACCACAATAAAGGCATTTATTCTGTTTGTACCAACAGCATATGAAAAATGTGTATATTTGTACAGCACTACAACTCAAGGACTTAATGCCATTTGTAGTGAGCTGACGCTCGGCAGTCGGCATTCGGCAGCGTACTACAGCGCGGCGCCTGTGGGTTTCATTTCATGACTCATGTTCTGAACCACATTCTGATGTTCTGACCAAATAATCGAGAGCTTGCTTATTGAGCCATTTTCTATAGAGAGAGTCAAAAGCATAAATAAGAGAAGCAAATGGTAAGTTAAGAAAAAAGAGATGGCAAGACTTAAGGAAATTGCTTATAACAATGGGTTAAAATCATGAGATTTATTGATCAATAACATTTAATCATGTTTTTATGTTGAAATCTGTAATATTTTTTTATTAAAAAATGTATTTGTAAGTAAGGTTATTTGTTTACATTGAAGCTCACTCCGCTCAATTGGCAGACATGAGGCCGCATACCTTGTTATTACTGTACCTACTCATAAAAGTAGTATTTATGTGATTTTACAGGTGTCAGCAGTGCTAGCAAATGATGATGTAATGCTTTGTATACAGCCTGGGGAACATGGTTCGACCTATGGTGGAAACCCTCTTGGGTGCAAGGTAAATAATACTCGTTTTATGGTAAGGGTTAGTGTACAGTGAATTGTTGCATGTTGTATCAAGTAATGCCTCTTTTATGCACGACGTTTTCCATCGGGCGGAATCTATTGGGCGTTCCGTCGGTGAGTGTTTTAACATGGGATCAAATGGGACCCTTTCATGCACGACGGAATCTCCGTCCCATTTCAGCGTTCCGTCCGATGTCGGGGGAGGTCTTAGACTCCGCTGAGTTTCGGTGTTTTGTCGGAGCGTTTTTTACATAGGTTCAAATGGAACTCTTGTATGCAACTGTGTTTTCTGTCGGGAGGAATGTAGCACTGCCAACCTACCCTACGCTCTCTCTGTCATCCACACTATCGAAATCGCCTATCATTGTAAATAGATGATCATTATTCATTGTAGGCCTAATGGATTGAAGAGTACAAATAAGAAGGTGTAATTGGGAAAATTTACTGGGAGAGAATTTCATTTTTGTTTAAATACATGGTATAATACAATACAACCTTAATAATACAGTCCTACAACCTTACAGTTTCGTAGGTATTGTATTCTCGGGACTGACATGGGAATTTTTTTATCACAAAGTCAAAGCATTTTTGTATTCCCGGGATTGATATGGTAATTGTTGTACAAAATGCAATCACACCATCTCATTGGCAACCCTGCATTACTGCCAACACTGTCATTGCTGCCAACCCTACGAGACGACTTTCATTCGCCGGGTGTAGACTGTACAACTCACCTCCGTCGTCGTACAAACATATCAATTAATTTTCAGTCTGTTTGTAAATTGTTTTGGAGGGGTTATCATCACATCTATGATTTTTCTAGGTGGGTACAGTGAATAACATTCATGTTGTAGGAAGAGGTATTATTAACCTACTAGCAACAGTGCCCGTTGTGGTTAAATACAACGGTCTCTAGTAAAATAATGGTTATGAAATCCATACACCACTTTACTCACTATAATATTAATGGTACAGATTAAGCACATAACATTAGATTTGATAGTTGGATTGCATACTGGTAAACCAATTATTGCTATCTATAAAAATTATTGGTTTTTCTTTTCCGAGTTGGGTTAGCTCTTTTACCCAACCGATTTTCATAATTTTAGCCTTAAACTAAAGACGTACCACAGATTTGCCATTAAGCATCGGCATTCATTTTGATGTATGAGTGAAAATTTAAAAACGTACGTTTTCAGGAAACACACTTTGCAAATTTTTTTCCCCTTTTTTCAAAACTTTTATTATTTTTTTGATTTCATTAACATTTGAAGTTTCATAAAATGTCCATGGTAACGCAATATCTTTGGTAGTTTTTTTTTTAAAAGAGCATCTTTAGTGGAAAAACACAAAATCCTGTCACGACCATAACAGACGTTTAAATGAAATATTTAAAATAGTTAATATTATTTTTATAACTATGTTTTGCTATAAACTAATTTACTTTTATGACCATTATACATTAAAAAGGTCACTGAGCTTTTAGTACCTATATTTGGTCTTTCTAGAAAAAAATAAAAAACTCAAAAAAATTGAAAAAAAGCCAATAATATCTTTTTAAGTTTGTATAACTCCGAAAAAACTTACCTGAGACCCGAAAAATCGTTATGTTTGCATAGAGGCGGGCTTCTTTTGTGTATAAAACATTGAAATATGACGATATTTTAATTTTTGAAATTTTTATGACAGAAATCATAAACGTGATGGTCAGGGACAAGCGGTACGGTCGTGAATTTTATAAAAAAATCTAAATCTTTCTAAACAATCCTTTAATTATACTGTTAGTTATAATAAAAATATGTGTTTCAATTGAACTAAACTGTTCAAATTACAATTATATTAAAGTTATTGTCACGACCAAACACACTATAATCCATAAGGCTGGATAGGTCGTGAAAAAACCCGCGATGGTCGTGAAATTACGTGTTATTTGGCTCTGTTCTGGCGGTAGCTCTGCACCTCATGTTCGAGGATACAAAGTGGACTTCTAGGTTAATCTAGCAATTGAAATATCTTATAAACAAAAATTAACACCATGTCTACTTCATCGAATGACTATGTACGGTCATGGACACACCAAAATTACAAAAAACACAACCTTTCCTGTATTAATCTTGTAATTCCTCCTTTCAACTCGAAACGACCGGCACTACAATCCTGACGTACACCCCGAACTAGTCTCTAAAACCAACTGACTCCATCAACGCCAGGCTTGCCACTGTCGTGCTCCAAAGTTGAAAAATTTTCCCAAATGGTCGTGACGCCAAATCGAGGGACAGACTTATTATGTCATGGTAGTCAGTTTGCAATGACAATAAAATTATAATATGCTCCTTTTTTGTAAGTTTAATAACCATTGATGACATAAAAATATTGCTTTATATATTTCGGCATGAATAATTAGTCTAAAAACAGCGTGAAAGTTGGAAAATGTACCCTAGGGACACGTCATGGTCGTGAATTTCGAGACTTTAAAAATACGAAAAAATACCTAGAACCTATTTAAAACCAAATAAATGTGTGTAACATGTTGCCCCCATCCCAAAAAATATTAAAACACATAATAATAAACTACAAATCCAGTAGCTACGAAGTAAAAGGCCAGGGACATGAAAACGTACGTTTTTAAATTTTCACTCGTATATTATGAAAGAATTTAAATTAGATTTTTTTTTTACTTCATTAAAGTTGTATTCCAGCAGTTCTAATTACTTTACCCTATATGTTTTGGTCTAAAAACCTTTAGTGAAATACCAGCTTTCATTTGTGCTACTGTATTGATTATTAAGATCGGACTACCTAAAACACACTGCTGAATCACGATTCAACAATAATTACAATCGTTTTAGTACTTATCTGCAATCAATGATACGTAACTCTATTTTTATTTAAGTTATTTTATATGTCTTGGTCTTAAAATACTTCATAGGCTTTCACTTGAGATATTGATAGTCTTAAACAGTTAAGTTTAAGATACTGTATCATCGCTCAATCAGAGAATATAAATTTGATTATATCTTGGATATGGAATTTAGTTTTAGATATATTTACTTAATTCTAATTACGTTATTCTATTTGTTTTGACCTAAGAACCTTCTGTGAAATACCAGCTTCCATTTGATTTATTGATTATTAAGATCGGACGTACCTAAAGCAAACAGCTAAATGACGTACAACACAAATTGCTCAAAAAATGTACAGTAGTTATTTATCATTGATTTATAGTCAAACGATATTGATTGCAACCTCAACAGTAACTGTTGACTATGACGGGTTTCACCTAGTAAATCTTTAAAAAATCAAACTTTTATGGTTATTTGCGAATCTACACAAATTAGGCTTTCCAATGACCTATTAATTAATAAAATCGGTTCAGTAGAACTGTAGATTTAATTGTACAAAGTTTAACAACAACATCTCTAATTCAGTATTTTCTCACCACTATAAATTGGGAGGTTGCTTAACGTTTTTGCAAATAACTTTGAAACGGTGAGGAAATCGACCAAAGTGGAAGATAATATTCTAAAAGAGAATAAAATTTCTTACAAATTACTAATGTGCATTTTTTGAAAATACTCAATAAACCCAGCCTATAGTTGGCTACAAATATAAACTTGGAAATATAATATTGGAAAAAAGGTGTTTTAAATGTAATATTGTTTATTTTTATTGTTTTAACTCAAATATGTAATAAAATCAAACTTTCATAATTATTTGCAAATCTACACAAATTAGGCTTTCCAACGACCCATTAAGTAACAAAATCGGCCGGGTAGAAGTCTAGATTTAGTTGTACAAAGTTTAACAAAAATATATCTAATTCAGTATTTTCTCATTACTATAAATTTGGAGATCACTTAGATTATTGCCAATAACCTTTAAATAGTGGGTAAATCGACCAACGTGGATGGGATATTCTGAAAGAGAATAAAATTTACTACAAATAACTACTATGCATTTCTTGAAAATGATTAATAAAGGCAGCCAAAAGCTGGCTACAAATAGAAACTTGAAAACAGAAACTTGAAAAAAGCAGTTTTTAATGTATTTTTGTTATTTTTACTTTTTTACCACAAAGATTTAATAAAATCACAATTTCATAATTATTTGCAAATCTACATGACTTGGGCTTTCCAATGACCCATTAATTAACAAAATCGGTCCAGTAGAAGTCTAGATTTAGTTGTACAAAGTTTAACAAAAATATCCCTAACTCGGTATTTTCTCATTACTATAAATTCGGAGGTTGCTTAGCTTTTTTGCAAATAACTTTTAAATGGTGAGGAAATCGACTAAAGTGGAAGGTGATATTCTGAAAGAGAATAAAATTTCCTACAAATTGATACCATACACTTTTTGGAAACACTAAAAAAAGACCGCAAAAAGTCGAACCCAAATAAAAAGTGTGAAAAACACCGTTTTCAATGTATTTCTTATGGAAAACATGTTTTTTTTTAAATTGTTCACCATAAATCATAACAAAAGCAAACTTTCATAATTATTTGCAAATCTACACGACCTAAGCCTTCCAACGACCCATTAATTAATAAAATCGGTCCAGTAGAACTCTAGATTTAGTTGTACAAAGATTTTTAAAACTGAATTATATATAGAATAGATTAGACAAGGTGTTTGTCAAATGCTTCGCAAGGGTTGTTACCTATCTAGGGTTTGTCTAGGTGGCTATAACAGCTCTACAAGTGCTGCAAGACGAGAGTCTAGCAGACAATTCTGAGAGGCTCGGACAGCTGTTGCGGACTGAGCTGGCCACACTTCCTACAGATAGAGTGTCAGTAGTACGAGGCAAGGGACTGCTCAATGCTATTGTCATTGATAAAAGTAAGATAATTATCATCAATTATGTTAAGCTCCAAGTCCAGTTTAATACAAAGGGTAAGGCAAAGCCCCGTACACAATGTATAGCGGCCAAACCAGGTTGATTGTTCGTAAAAACTTAAACCCCCCTATTTTCACCCCTTAGAATTTGGGGAAATTATTTTCAAACCTCGTAAACGCACCTAAAGGGTATATTTTGGAAAACTTTCTAATCAAATAACAAAGAACATTGATATTTATACCATCTTATGTGATTGTGATATTATTGCTTACATATCCTTTTGGTAACAGTGAGTTAACTGGACAAATCATCAAATTTGTTCTTCCTCTTTACACCTTAATTCCTGTACATTTTATAAACTGAAAAGGAAAGTAGGACTTACAGTTGTCAAAGTTGTTATTGTTCATCTAATACAAGCTTTATTGTTGTTTCTATTGTTTTAGGCTTGATTTCATGATTTGTGCTTTACTGTTTGGTTATATAACTAGGAGACAAGTTATTGTTTTTAAAATTAGATTGCTTTATTTGGTTAAATGAGGTTTTTAAATGACTGAAATAACAAGAAACAAATATTAAACAACACTCTTATACGTCGACTCTTATGCATTTCGTAATACGCAAACTCCTCCTAGACGGCTGAATCGATCGTTTTCAAATTTTGCATGGTGATAGAGACCATGCAGTGTTTGTCAAGGTCTTTTTCTCGAAAGTAAATTAAATACATCTAAAACACCAAAACACTTCAAGTGTTAGTTATATTTTGATTTACTTTTCAAATAATTCATAACACATTTATAATGCTGATTAAGAAGTTACTGGTATTTTGATTTTTTTTTTTTGTTCAGAGTATGACGCATGGGACGTATGTGTAAGACTGAAGGAGAATGGACTTCTGGCCAAACCCACTCATGGTGACATCATACGATTTGCCCCTCCGCTTGTTATAAAGGACAAAGAAATGCAGCAGTGCCTTCAGATTATAAAGGACACTATCTTATCACTATAGTAACTCACGGATGATCGGGTTTATGTTAAGTATTAAACATGTATTAATAATAAAATACACTATTATACAAAACTCTAATCGTATATTTTGTCTATTATCTTATCTTTTACTAAAATTTATTTAAAGCTAATAATGATCACAAACTTTTGAGAAAGTGAAAGTGAACTTTTGAGAAACTTCCGGCTATAAGTTTTGTTGCGATTCGTTGCCTTTCGTCTGTTAGCAGACACTATTTTAGGTGTTTTGTCGTAGATGACATCTGATATTGTCTATTTGACATTTATTTGTTGTTGTCAGGCTATACTTATTTTCTAAGGTTATTAATTGTGTATTTCATTGTTTGTTTTTATACATTGGCAAAGATTATTTATTGTTAATGATAACAACAATTCAATTATTTTTTTTTAAACTTGTTTTGAACTAATATTTGTGATGTATATAGTAGACTCCCTCTTATCCGGACTCCTCGGGACCGAGGCCAGTCCGGATAACGGTTTTTCCAATTAAACCGACGTCCCCAAAAACTCGTTAAAACGGACCGTTTACTGTGATATTCAACTTAAATTTAGGAGAGCATTGTATTTAGACACATGATCACTGGTCTCAAATCTTTCCCACGAGAACAGGATTGATCACTGGTCGTTTCAGTACTGCCCACTTCCTGCCGATCTAGTTCGGTTAAACCAATGTGCTGATAAAAATTGTCCGGTTAAAGAGATGTCATTTCTGCCGAGTGTAGTCCGGTTAAAAGGTGTCCGGATAAGAGGGAGTCTACTGTACATCAATTTTGATTTCCATTTTCTGCCCTTTCTGACTGAAAGATTTTTATGTTGAATAAAAATAATAAAATTATTTAGCATAAATTATAGTAAGTCAAAGTAAAAATAATTTCCATAGTTATTTGTGTAACTAAGTGGCACTTTGGTGCACATGAAAGAAATGTTTACGCACGAGCCAAGGCTAGTGTGGAAAGTTTCTCGAGTGCAGCAAAGGCAGTTTGCACTCGTGTTACACATTATATTTTCCTACAGTTACTATTAATCATACAAATAATTAGTCTTTCAAACACTGTACAACACATTTTTAGGTTAGGTTAAATCCAAACATTGAACGAAATAAGAAACGCTGCACCAGCTGATTGTAGTCATAATATCTTTAAGTGTTGCCAACTTATTTTCAAGCATACACAGATTACGTGCATAATAAAAGCACGCTTTTTCGTGTTGTTTGGTTGGAATACCGGTGTGTGGCAAAAAAAACTTTGCATGACAAAAAAGCAAAAAAATATGTGCACAGCAAAAGTAAAAAGTGTGCGGCAAAAGTAAAAAGTGTGCGGCAAAAGTAAGTAGATGCAGCAATTAGCAACTTTCTGTGCTATAATCAGTGCAAGGAAGGCTACTTTGTCAGGTGACTGTAGGAAAAAATAATTTTTTTTGTCCCAATTTATTTTTTGAAATTTGTTCATATCTTAGCCTATACCATTTCATAAGTACCTAGTTTATTCATGCACAAAATCAAAAATTTACAGAATACCTCTAAAATTGTATTTTATTTGACATTTTATGAAAACTTCTGCATTTTCCTATGAAATTAGCTCGGAAATTTATGGATGGCAAAAAGTCATGAGCCTGTGGCACTCAAAGAGTTAATTGATGTTACAGACAAATAATGATAACAATAATGAAAATGATTTTATAATTACATAAAAAAATATTAATTATCATTATACATTTGAAATGGGATGCCATATCGGTGTGTTAATCATAGACTAACCAACACAACAAGTCTCATCTCATTGTATATTTTGAAGCTCGTTATTCGCGTCTAGTTCATGTCCGGTAACACTGGTTGATAGTGTCGATGAAATGTTGTTTCTATTGTTTTAGGCTTGATTTCATGATTTGTGCTTTACTGTTTGGTTATATAACTAGGAGACAAGTTATTGTTTTTAAAATTAGATTGCTTTATTTGGTTAAATGAGGTTTTTAAATGACTGAAATAACAAGAAACAAATATTAAACAAAACATGACCTCTACAGTGCACCGGACAAAACCAGCAATAAAAGTGGCTTCAGCTGTTCTATAAGGACGATAAATCTACTTAGGAAGTATGTTTTATCTATGGCAGTGCAACACTTTCTATGGTATTTTCAATGTTCCTGTTTCCCTGTACAACCGGATCGTCAATTTCCATTTCATCGGCATCATCAAACATAACCACACTCAAGTTTGCAAACAATACATCTGTCTTTGTCGCACTTACTGCGAACAATAACAGCTAAGAAATTTCAAACAAGTAATGGACAACATGCTCCATAGAGTCCGGGTTCCAAATAGTTCACTGAATCGTTGTCAGATACCACCTCCTGTCAGGTCACGTCATGACGTGCGGAACTTGTCAAACCGTAGCAGTGTCTTTTCACGTGTGGCGAGTAACTCTTGTCAAACCACCGTGAAGGGTTAAATTGATTACAATCAAGTGAAATTCCCATTCTAAAAAACCATAAAATACAGAATTTTACAGTTTTTAAGATAGCTGTTATTTTGGAAAGTGGTGGCCGTTTTTGAAACAATATCAATATTTTTAATTTATTCAAAGATGTTTTTTACAATTTAGATACAATTTTAAGACTTATTTATTCTTTGCATTTTCTTTTGAAACATACATACTTGCTTAGGAGCTACAGGATGCAGAAAAGGATGCAGGATGCTACAAATTAATGATAACAATAGAGTATAGGTACTGTATATCGATTGAGTATATTGCAATCATACACCATAGAGTTTTGTTTATTTAAAGCTTTGTATCATTGATTCTCTAAACCACTAAATAAATTATAAAGATATAAATATACAATTACTATAAATAACAGTTCAATTTAATGCATGAGTATAAAAATACAATTTGAAAGTTTAGATGGTTAGGTTAATGCTTATAGGGTAAAGGCACCAGTGAGATATCATTCTCATTTGATTAAATATCGGATATTTTTCTGTTTCATGCAAATACACCCACGGTCATTCATAGGTTTCAAACTAAACTAGGTTGTATAATTTAATTGAAATATAAAATTGTAATGAAAATATATTAAGTCAAAGGTCACTTACTGGATAAAGACTGGTCGATAAGTCTTTTGTAGTTGTATTTTTAAGTAGCATTTCACTTATTTCATTTCACTTTGTATATAAATATATTTCAATCATAATTACCACTGGCTAATCCTCAGATATGCATTGAGGAGCATATTATACTGCACATAGAAAAATGGCACATAATGGGTTATCAGTGTACATGACACTTCACTGGCGCCTTTACCTATGTAGAAGTTATTACATTTTAACAATAATTGGAAAATTACCTTGAAGTGATGTTAAAGACTAATAATACAGATGAATCCAAAGATCCTTTTTGACCTTTGAAATAATCTACTTGTGGCTATAAAAGTTCTGTTTTGATCAAACTTGAATGTTGTTCCCTGCTATTGTTATTTCTTCAATCACTCGATCCAAGTCACATTCTGTATGCTCCGGGTGACAAGTCAGCACCAATCGAAAGAAGTTCGGGAGCTTCCTTTGCTTCAGTGGTTGATATGCAATCATTAAACTTCCTTTGAGAACAATTTTCTCCTTGATTAGAGGAGCAACCTGAAAAAATGTATATTTTGTTGAAATAAAGGTCTAGCTACAATGGTTGTAGGAGGAGGAGCAGATCTTTTAACCCTCAAACAACATGGTGGGTGGAGATCATCTAGCGTGGCTCAGGGATATGTAAAAAACTCAATAAAAAGAAAAATTGAAGAATCAAAAAAATTTTTTGCTAATGTGCAGAATCAGCCTACACCAGTACCAGGATCATCCCTTTGCCATCAAAACACTGCTAACACCAATGAAATAAATACTGATTCAGATGGCAAATATTTCAATGTAAATGATATTTTATACGACGATGATGGGATTGGAGTGAGTGGAGAAACCGACAACACTGGAAGAAGTGCTACTCAAGTCAAGTCAGTAACAAAACTCTCAATTTGTTGCAAAACAAACTGCCAAACAAAGGTATAAATGACATGAAAAATGAAAATTTCACCATATACATAAAAAAAAATTGCCTCCAAGATATCTTTTTAAGCTAAAAGCCTAGGTTTATGGTTTTTGTTTCATAAAATATGTAAATAGTAAAATAATAAATAGGCCTAGGCCTGAGTTTTTTTTAGTAAAACAAACCTTGATTCTAGAAAAAAATTTGTTTCTTGGTTTGTAGTTATATGACTTATTTGTAGTTTGACGAAAAGTATTGTTCAATACTCCGAAAATTTCTTTGCCAGTGCTTGGTCTAAATTCGATGCGAGACGAAGTCGAGCACGTAAACCTGATCTCGCACTGGCAAAGATAGTTTTGGGATTTTTCGCCCATTATTTGAAATGGATCCACCGATTTTCAGACAGGATAAGGAATCTGACTCAAGTTAGGTCATTCCCTTTGTCACATGAAGCGGTTAGAGACTTTGAAAACATGAAACTAGACATAGCCAATGCACTTATTACTCCAAGAGATGGACAAGAACCGCTGGTGGTGGAAACGGACGCTTCAGATGTAGCTCTGGCACCAACCTTAAGTCAAAATAATAGACCGATAGCTTTTTACTCCAGGACTTTACATAAATCTGAGAAATTGTATCCGGCAGTTGAAAAGGAAGCCGCTGCAATCGTTGAAGCCCTAACAAAATGGAAACCATTCCTCATTGAAAAAGAATTCAAACTGTATACTGACCAGCAAGCTCTTTCGTTTGTGTTTGATAGGAGGCATACTAGTCGAATAAAAAATGACAAAGTAATGAGATGGCGCCTTGAACTTGCACCTTACCAGTACGACATTGTTTATCACCCTGGAAAAGATAATGATAAGGCAGATGCATTGTCACGGGCGTGTTCGGTACGCTCAGATAGTGCAAAACTTCTTCAACTCCACAAATCCCTGTGTCATCCAGGGATTACCTCATTGGTTAAAGGGGGTTGGGGTTTAATTGGATAAAGAGTGAAAACTTAAACTACTCTCTCGACGATGCCAAAAGAATGACATCTGCATGCCAAACGTGCACTGAAATAAAGCCAAGATTATATTGTTTTCAAGGGAAACTGATAAAGGCTACGACTCCTTTCGAAAGACTGAACATTGATTTCAAAGGTCCTTTGCCATCAAAGACCAGGAATCGATACCTTTTAACAATTGTGGATGAGTACTCGCTATTTGTTTTCGTGTATCATTGTAAAGATATGAGTTCTACGACAGTAATTGCTTGATTTTAAAATCTATTTTCAATGTTTGGGGCTCCTGCCTTCGTACACTCTGATCGAGGAGCTTCATTTATGTCACGTGAGCTGACAGATTTTCTACACAACTACGGAGTGGCAACTAGTCGCATGACTCCATACAACCCAAGAGGAAATTCCCAGACTGAAAGATTTAACGGAACTATATGGAGAACCATTCTTCTTGCACTGATAACACATAACCTGCCAGTTACCTCATGGGAAGATATGCTGCGAGAGGCACTTCACTCTGTCAGATATTGTGTACTGCGACTAACTGTACACCACATGAGAGATTTTTCAAACATAGTCGCAGAACCACAAACAGAGAATCCCTACTTTCATGGCTAACTAGTCCTGGTCCAGTATTGATGAAGAAATACGTCCGTACAAGTAAATAGGATGACCTCGTAGAACGAGTAGATCTCTTAGAAGCAAATCCTCAATATGCTGTAATTAGGAGGGAAGATGGTTCCGAGTCCCAAGTATCACTAAGACACCTTGCGCCTGCTGGACTACCTACTATTGAGTATACATCTGATGAGTGTACAAACGATCAACGTGAGGATGATCACGAGTTCAATGCTGACAATTGTTATCAACAGGAAGTTCTAGAAACTCAAAACAATCCTGATCCAACATCATCTGGAGCTCCAGCTGAAGAGATGCTCTTGGATAGGATTCGCCCGAGGAGAAATGCCAGAGCTCCAGCCTATCTTAAAGATTATGTCAGCTACACCTATTTGAAAAACTAGTGGGAAAGAATGTGGTGATATTTCATTTTTAAAGCCTGTTTCTTAATCATATGTTTAATGCTGTTTGTTAGTGTTTTCAAGTTTGTATAAACAACAACATTATGGCTGATTTTTATAATGAACTAGCTGGCCCGACAGACCTCGTCCTGTCCTAATGTGGTTTTATGTCAAATGCTCGTTCGCATGGCTCAATCACGTCCTGGTTGAAGTTGTTCGCTACACTCACTCACCTTTAGGTTGGAGCTCGTTCGCTGCTCTCACTTGCCTTCAGATTAGCTCGTTCGCTATGCTAACTCGCCTCCAGGTTGAAGTTCGTTCGCTACGCTCACTCACCTTTTGGTTGCAAATTAGCTGTTGTCATAAATTAAAAAAATAATAGTGCTGCACCCTGTTGGTAAACCTATTAACTTTTTAATGCTATTGAACATCACAGAATCAAATTGTTTAGTTGAACCAGCTGCTAAGATTCTTTAATTCGATTTAAATATGAGTTCTCATAAGGTTAACATGGGAAACTTCAGAGCCACTGGGGCGGAGCCCTTTTGACGGATCTGCACCAAACTTCAAACAAACCATCCTTGAATAATGCTTAATAATGCCTGAAAGTTTCATTACAGTCTGTTGAGCGGTTTCGGAGTCCATAAAGGACAAACAAACAAACATACATACATAGAAACATACATTGGATTATATATCTATATATATAAAAGGCAAAGCCCTCACTGACTCACTGACTCACTGACTCACTGACTCACTCACTCACTCACTCATCACTAATTCTCTTACTTCCCATTTACCTAGGAGGCTGAAATTTGGTACACTGATTCTTTAGGCATTAAATAGGAAAACTAAGCTGTTTTTATTCTGATCGGACTCTCGGGCTCCGCCCCAGTGGCTCTGGAGTTTCCCATGTTAACCTTATGAGTACTCATATTTAAATAGAATTAATGAATCTTAACAGCTGTTTCAATTAAACAAGTTGGTTCTGTTCTATGATATTCAATAGCATTAAATTTACAAGGATTACCAACAGGGTGCAGCACTATTATTTCTTTTAAATTTATGACAACAGCTAATTTGCAACCAAAAGGTGAGTGAGTGTAGCGAACAAACTTCAACCTGGAGGCGAGTTAGCGTAGCGAACAAACTTCAACCAGGACGTGATTGAGTCATGCGAACGAGCTCACTTATGAAGTTAAATGGGGCAAAGCCTGCGGGTACAGCTAGTATATAATATAGATAAAAGCCACATTTTGGTTACTCTTGTCTTTATTTACAACAAGCGCTTTTCCTTACTAATAACGAAATATACTATTCTTTCCCAGTAGCAGCAAACCAAAGTAGCCTAAACGTTAAACCTAACTGGGGTATAAATCACACATTTTTAAGGAAATATTTTTGAAAAATCCAATCCAACAAATGAAAATTCACTTAATCTGCAGTTGGAGGGAGTAATGTTTATTTTACTCTTCAAATTTTAATTTTGCAACTAACGCCAACCAAGAATGATCAAGCCTAAGCATATTGAAACAAATGAGATATTACTAAAACTTCACTTCTTTGCTAACTACATTCAACTCATAAATCTACCTAAAACTTCACTTCTTTGCTAACTACAATCAACTCATAAATCTACCTATCTCCAATAAAATATATTATTTTAATTTATTAATTAGATAAGTTTAAATATCCAACAAACATTCACAAAAAGGTAGTATTTTTATTTTAAAATAATAAAAATAAAGTTAAATATTAAAATTACCTTCCCAACTCTGTCCCACCACTCCTCAGTTTCTGGGAGACTCTGCAGACACTTAGGAATGTACCAGAAACAGATGTTAGTGAACTGAAACTCGGGCAGAACCAATCGAAACTCTTCTATGGATGTGATCATTTTCAGGAAATACCTGTGGTCAAAACATATATTATGTATATCATAATGAAACTGATCTTTATATTAAATCTCAATATATTCCAGAAAGCTAAATATTATTTGTGATTATATATTTTTGAAAGGGTTCCAATATTCTAAAAGGTAAGGTTCTTCACAAAGTTATAAGTTTTGAACACCTTAACTACTTTACACTGTTAGTTATAGTGAATGTATGTAGTATAGTAGTGCTGATGGCATACTTAGACAGTTCCATTGCCTTGTCTACTAGCAGGCCAAACCCTGCGTCGCCCCTGGCACGCCACATCAGCCACAACTTGAAAGAGTCTGGCTTGCGTCCACACTGCACACTCTTGTCCCCCAAGTCATACGATGTGTCATAGAACTTGTCCTGCTGGAAGAGATACGTCGCCCCGGAACTGTTGCATTGGTGGAGAAGATCCTGTCAATAGCAAAAAAAGTAAAATGTAGTACTGTGGATTTTGCTTTTAATACACCCTAAACATTTTTTTAAATTCAATTAACCCTTTAAATTTTCCCTCAGTTAACCAAAAAGAACTCTATGGATTATTGGATTATTCAATGATTTAACTACACATTTTTTTACTATATTTTCCTAATTTTGTTTTTATAACTAGGTTTATTATTACCACTAGGTGGACCTGTGTGATTTCACACGAAATACGATTGAACTATCTTTTTTTTAGTTTTTTAGCGTTCATCCCATATAGGGAATAAGCTATTACCTTAGGTCTCATGGTAAGACCTGAACCCGGGACCGATTAACTTTTTTAGTTAAAGGTAGTTCTAAGATTGACTCTCAGGATGGCTGGAGTTGGGATAGTTAAAGGTAGTTCTAAGCTCGATTCTCAGGATGGCTGGATTAGTGATAGTTAAAGGTAGTTCTAAGCTTGACTCTCAGGATGGCTGGATTAGGGATAGTTAAAGGTAGTTCTAAGCTTGACTCTCAGGATGGCTGGAGTTGGGATAGTTAAAGGTAGTTCTAAGCTTGACTCTCAGGATGGCTGGATTAGGGATAGTTAAAGGTAGTTCTAAGCTTGACTCTCAGGATGGCTGGATTAGGGATAGTTAAAGGTAGTTCTAAGCTTGACTCTCAGGATGGCTGGAGTTGGGATAGTTAAAGGTAGTTCTAAGCTTGACTCTCAGGATGGCTGGATTAGGGATAGTTAAAGGTAGTTCTAAGATTGACTCTCAGGATGGCTGGAGTTGGGATAGTTAAAGGTAGTTCTAAGATTGACTCTCAGGATGGCTGGAGTTGGGATAGTTAAAGGTAGTTCTAAGCTTGACTCTCAGGATGGCTGGATTAGGGATAGTTAAAGGTAGTTCTAAGCTTGACTCTCAGGATGGCTGGATTAGGGATAGTTAAAGGTAGTTCTAAGATTGACTCTCAGGAAGGCTGGATTAGGGATAGTTAAAGGTAGTTCTAAGCTTGACTCTCAGGATGGCTGGAGTTGGGATAGTTAAAGGTAGTTCTAAGCTTGACTCTCAGGATGGCTGGATTAGGGATAGTTAAAGGTAGTTCTAAGATTGACTCTCAGGATGGCTGGAGTTGGGATAGTTAAAGGTAGTTCTAAGATTGACTCTCAGGATGGCTGGAGTTGGGATAGTTAAAGGTAGTTCAAAGCTTGACTCTCAGGATGGCTGGATTAGGGATAGTTAAAGGTAGTTCTAAGATTGACTCTCAGGATGGCTGGAGTTGGGATAGTTAAAGGTAGTTCTAAGCTTGACTCTCAGGATGGCTGGAGTTGGGATAGTTAAAGGTAGTTCTAAGCTTGACTCTCAGGATGGCTGGATTAGGGATAGTTAAAGGTAGTTCTAAGCTTGATTCTCAGGATGGCTGGATTAGGGATAGTTAAAGGTAGTTCTAAGATTGACTCTCAGGATGGCTGGATTAGGGATAGTTAAAGGTAGTTCTAAGCTTGACTCTCAGGATGGCTGGAGTTGGGATAGTTAAAGGTAGTTCTAAGCTTGACTCTCAGGATGGCTGGATTAGGGATAGTTAAAGGTAGTTCTAAGATTGACTCTCAGGAAGGCTGGATTAGGGATAGTTAAAGGTAGTTCTAAGCTTGACTCTCAGGATGGCTGGATTAGGGATAGTTAAAGGTAGTTCTAAGATTGACTCTCAGGAAGGCTGGATTAGGGATAGTTAAAGGTAGTTCTAAGCTTGACTCTCAGGATGGCTGGAGTTGGGATAGTTAAAGGTAGTTCTAAGCTTGACTCTCAGGATGGCTGGATTAGGGATAGTTAAAGGTAGTTCTAAGATTGACTCTCAGGATGGCTGGAGTTGGGATAGTTAAAGGTAGTTCTAAGATTGACTCTCAGGATGGCTGGAGTTGGGATAGTTAAAGGTAGTTCTAAGATTGACTCTCAGGATGGCTGGAGTTGGGATAGTTAAAGGTAGTTCTAAGCTTGACTCTCAGGATGGCTGGATTAGGGATAGTTAAAGGTAGTTCTAAGCTTGACTCTCAGGATGGCTGGATTAGGGATAGTTAAAGGTAGTTCTAAGCTTGACTTTAAGGATGGCTGGATTAGGGATAGTTAAAGGTAGTTCTGAGCTTGACTCTCAGGATGGCTGGTTTAGGTATAGTTGAAGGTAGTTCTAAGCTTGGCTCTCAGGATGGCTGGAATTGGGATAGTTAAAGGTAGTTCTAAGCTTGACTCTCAGGATGGCTGGATTAGGAATATTTAAAGGTAGTTCTAAGCTTGACTCTCAGGATGGCTGGTTTAAGTATAGTTGAAGGTAGTTCTAAGCTTGGCTCTCAGGATGGCTTGAGTTGGGATAGTTAAAGGTAGTTCAAAGCTTGACTCTCAGGATGGCTGGATTAGGGATAGTTAAAGGTAGTTCTAAGCTTAAATCTCAGGATGACTGGTTAAGGTATAGTTAAAGGTAGTTCTAAGCATGGCTCTCAGGATGGCTGGAGTTGGGATTGTTACAGACCTTGTTTTTCAAAAGTATAACAGAGCATTGCAAAGGAGCTCCTAACATCTTGTGAGGGTTCCAAGCGATTGAGTCTGACCTAGAACATAAATAGAAACTATCATCAACCAAAGACTCAAATCAAAGGCACATGACTGCAATGAAAGATTACTAGCATATTAGCATTATAGTTTATAGCTGTGTTTTGTAACATTGGCAATTGTTTATTTTGCACTTTTCAAGAACTTAACAGTGTCATAAATATGTTAACTGCATCACTTATAGAGAAAGAAATACATGGAAATCTAGAAAAATTATTTGTTTTTCACCAACAAAACAAAACAAAAATATCAATACAGATATTATTGTTATATTCATAATACTTAGGCGGAATGCTTGCATCACCACTTTTTTGCTTAATATATGCTGCAGTTGATTGATCTTTTGGTAAATAAATGTTTACAAATGTATCTTACAGTCAAAACACAAAAACAATAAAGTCAATTTAGGGTCCACGGGTGGACCCTTCAGCACTCGCCCAGGCGCAAACAAACTGCATTGTGGAATACGTACAGTCTCTTGGGATAATGCGGCAACAAACCAACCTTATTCTAAGGGTGGCTGAACCACACCAAGCATCTAAACATATAAATTTGCTCTCCCCCACCAGTGCAGTGGCCACCAGTCCTCAGTGACGTCGCGCAGGGTCTGCAGCGAATGTGTTAAAATATTATATTACTCTATGTATACCAAACATAAAGAAAATCATATTTTGAGCGGTTCATTAGCTAGTAGCTTTTACTATTAATGTAAAACTTGATTGACTTATTGTGAGCTATAGCAACAGTTATGACCCATCATCTTGGTCAGCAACAAAAAAAAGGTAGAAAACAATTTTAGATACTAGCGCATTCTGTGACAGGCTCAACCACCATGTATTTTTTTTAATTTTTATAAAAAGTTGATGACAGCTGATCCATAGAAGGGATGTCTACTACCATAGCCTCCTCTAACACGAGGCTGCGGCTTTGGTATGTGGCAATGTCGCAACGTCAATTAGAGGAGGCTATGCTACTTGACTATCCAATATAGTTAGTCAATGCTAGTAGTAAACCTTGATAGTTGTTTACTCAGAAATGTAGGTAATGTTTACGTTATGCAGCCTTTGCCAAACCTCAACTTTGGAGATATTGTTTTAAGGGTAAGGTCAAGTGGGGGGATAGATTTATTCCCCTAAAACCGCCTTAAGTTTGTGAACGGAGTATAGTACTATACAAATCAATAAAACTATATAGAATATAGATGGTTTGAAAGTTTTATTTAAGTATAGGTTGTAAATTTTGTGCACAGGACTCGATAATAAGCAACAAAAAGAATTGCTAAATTATGACATTTGGTCCCCCTTCCTCTTTGGATAATCTTTAATGATTAAAAAAATATAGTTTCCAACATTTTACAGAACGGTATAATTCAAAAATACCGGGTGATTCAAAATTAATAGCCTGGTTTTAACGCTTTATAACTTTTATACTATTAAACTTACCGTTATAAAACACACATCAAATGAAAAAGCAACTCAAAGAGCTGATGTCTTCCTAAGACACATTATTTAACAAAATCGATCCAGTAGAACTGTAGATTTAATTGTTCAAAGTTAAAAAGTAATCTCCAACTTTTTTCACCTATACAAATTTGAGGTTGCTTGACGTTTTTAGAAATAACTTTTAACTGGTGAGGAAATCGACCAATGTGGAGGGAAATATTCCAAAAGAGAATAAAATTTCCTACAATTTACTATTATGCATTTCGTGAAAATACTCAGTAAAGGCAACCAAATATTGCCAGAATGAAACAAAAATTGAAAATCCCCGTTTTTATGTCTATTGTCTACATTGAAAACGGAAATTTTCACATATTTTATTTTGAGGCAATTTTTGGCTGCCTTTAATGAGTATTTTCAAGAAATTGATGATTGTAACTTTTAGGAAATGTTATTATCTTCCGGAATATTTCCTTCCACTTTGGTCGATTTCCTCACCATTTAAAAGTTATTTCCAAAAACTTCAAGCAACCTCAAATTTTTATAGGTGAAAAAGTTGGAAATTACTTTTTAACTTTGAACAATTAAATCTACAGTTCTACTGGATCGATTTTGTTAAATAATGTGTCTTTGGAAGACATAAACTCTTTGAGTTGCTTTTTCATTTGATGTGTGTTTTATAGCGGTAAGTTTAATAGTATAAAAGTTATAAAGCGTTAAAACTTAAAACCAGGCTATTCATTTTGAATCACCCGGTATATTATAAACCTAATCATACACTACACTAATGTAAACTAAACCTTTTCCATTTCTGCCTACCTCTCAGCACCTTGTAAAAGGTAGTTATACTTCTTTGAGAACATGACTGCTCCACCCCAGCAAGCCTGCAAATATCATAGTTTTCATTAACTATTTTAACCACAAAATGTTTAATGAGATAATTGCAAATATGGGTTGTTTAATTTTATGAAATTTAGTGGTGCTGGTGACCTTTATTGTACATAACTACAAAAAAAAATTAAAATTAAACAAACTATTTTTCAATAACAGTAAATCCAAACAGAAAAAACTAACATCTATATGAAACCAAATGTTGAACTTCTCGCAGATATCAGCGATCGCATTGAATGGATCAAATGCCCCGAGTACAGTGGTTCCCGCAGTGGCATTGACGAAGAATGGCAGTTTCCCTTGGTCCACAGCCTCACGCACTTTGGTGTGCAGAGCGTCTGGCAACATACGTCCTTCTCTGTCACACGCAACCTCATACACACTGTCCAGACCCAGACCTAGCCAGTGTGCTGCCTTCAGGAAGGAATAGTGGCTCTGTCAACATCACATAAAAGACTTAGGAAGTAGCATAGTTAAGAAGTAAACGGATTTTTGATTTGTTAATTTTTTACATATCATTACAGTATATACAATAGTAGGCCCTACTGATATAGGTCAATCAACAATATTTTTATCTTAATTACTTTTTTTTGTTTTGATTTGGTAAAGTATTATACTTTTAATCTATACAGAGTGTCAAAGAAGTAAAGTGACAAACTTTGGGAAGTGGTTACATGGGCCGAAATAAAGTTAAATAAGTTGAAAAAGTTATAAAAATATAAATACTGCTGTCTAAAAATTACAAAATAGCATAAATATCTGGTGAACAAAGCCTTAAAACTATCTTATTCCTGATAAACTCTTTATTTTGATTCTAGAGTTTGGAACTATATATGGGACAGCCTGTAAATGGTTTGTGATGTTTAATATTTTAGTTACCTTAACATAACTTTTACACAAGATTTCAATAACAGAAAATGAATCAGTTATTGTAAACCAAACAAGCATGTTAGTGTAAAGGTCGATTATCATATAATTTAATTTAATATAATTTTTTGACGCCATTCCATGTACTGATTTATGTACAATATGAAATAAAGACGATTTGATTTGATTTGATCAATTATTGAGATGAGGATGCCAAGTACCTAGGTCCATATTTTATAGAAGAAGCAAATTATTTCTTGACATATAGTTTACACAGGTAATTTTTTTTATATTTAACTTTTTTAAATTGTAATTTATTGCCATTGACAGTTTATCCAGAAAAGTCCAAATTACACTTTATAGATGGAAAATAAAAATAATACATTTTCAACCGGGTACCAATATGAATTTAAAATACTGAATCCAAACGGTTTTAGTGAATAGGAAAGTAGCTAAGTTTTCTTATTTTTACCCTTAAAACATTAATGACCAATTATCATTACAACCTATGTGAGATCTTTGAAAAACAAATCATTTTGTATATTGAAGGTTTGATTGTTGTTTTAAAATTAAAGGTTATGGAGGAAATAAAAAAAAAACTGTACAATTGAAATCACTATATGTCATTCCTATGGAAAAAGTTAAATGTTGTCATTTGCTTGTTTATGGGATATATTTTGATAAAATTAGGCTAATTTATTTATTTCATACCGTTGGTATTTTTAAATTTGTTTGTTATAAATACCCCCGCCGCAGCAAACCTGCAGACTAAGCGAATTTCAACTTGTCTGATTACATTTTTACTTAAATATTTTCATAAATAAGACATATTTATTCCCAATTTAAATAACATTAGAATTAACGAGTGCTTAGGTTTGCTGCTACGGGGAAGGTAAAAAGTGTTTTTTGACAAAACGTTAATAGTATAGGATGAAATAAATAAATTTGCAAAATTTTATCAACATATATCCATAAACAAGTAAACTGCAACAGTTTTCATTATCTTTATAAGAATAAGGGGTAGCGGATTTTTATCCCCCTGGAATTTTACCCCCTGGTCAAACGTGACGTCACAAACCAGGGGGTAAAATTCCGGCCGCGAACTTTTGAGTTTCGCGACATCAGCTCGACGGATTAAACAAGAATTAAACATATATTTTCACGGTTGTGAATTTAATCAGAACACATCAAATTATAAAAACCTAGAGTGTACGGCCCGGATTTTTACCCCCGGAATTTTACCTCCGGAATTTTACCCCCTGGATTTGTACCCCCGGAATTTTACCCCCTGGCTAGATGTATAAATTAGTGAGAATGATTCATTATCTTCATTATGTTTTAATTTAATCGTAAACATTTTATTATTAAGTAGCCTATATTAATTTATTTGTAACATTAACTAATCAAACAGGTTTTTAATTTTAATTTTGAGATTCTAGTATTAGGATTCGATCTTTGAAGGCAACAGTTGGTTAATATGACGTATAAACAATCAACTGAATGATAATTGTTTCAAACATTTCTTTACTAGGTACTAAATAATGAGTGTTTACAATTAATTAAAAACAGAAATAAGAAAATCAATCATTCAATTACTAAAATAGGCCAGGGGGTAAAATTCCGTGGGGTAAAAATCCGGAGGTGAAATTCCGGGGGTACAAATCCGGCCCGTACATCTTCAGTTGTCTAAACGCTAGTTATATGGACAGGGGGTAAAATTCCGGCCACGAACAAACTTTTTGCCACTCAGGTTACTACGTCATAGTGACGTCAGCTTTGCCCAGGGGGTAAAATTCCAGGGGGATAAAATTCCAGCGACCCAAGAATAACATGGGAATTTTAAATTTAAACTTTTTTGAATTTTCTCCGTAACCATTAGGCATAAAACAATGCTTCAACATACTAAATTATTCCTTTTTTTAAGCTCTACAAAATGGTTGGGAAAGAAATACCAAAATCTTTTGTTTTTAGGGTCAAAAATGGGAAAACCCCATTTTTACCCCAGTTCCAATGGTCCAATCATGCTATTCGCGTGGTGTTTTTGGCCTCTGGGGACCTCAAAACCAAAAAGTAAATCGGTCCCGGGTCCAGGTCTTACCATGAGACCTACGGTAATAGCTTATTCCCTATAATATAGGAAATTCGCTAAAAACACTTTCCTCCTTCCTGTAGCAGCAAACCTAAGTAATAATTAAATCCATTGTTATTGAAATAGGGAATAAAATCTGACAACTTTAAGGAAATATCGATTTGTATAATACATGAAGAAGTTTTTTGTGAACACTACTTCTCCCTTATTTGTGAATCATTTTTAACGTTTGAGGTGTAAAAAAAGTCGTGGCGGTTGGGGTACCACTTTTGTGGTAATTTGGTTGTTTGATTTGGAATTTTACGACATTACCATTTTATGTTGGAAAAAAACATTGAACCCTTAAATTTAACCAGAGGAAAGCAAACACTGAACAGGAGTGTTCTCCTGCCGGCTCCCGCGACGGCACAAATTAACTGTTCACCACAGGCCTGTGTTCCGTCCACGAGAACCTTTTATTTTAATCAATGTACGTGTGTGTTTATATCCGTGTCCGTGTTTGTATTAATATGACGACGTCCAAGCGACTGACTATGATAAGATACTTCTCGACTTGCTAACTACGTGACCATGACGCAACTAGCGTCGAAACCATGGTTGTAGATATTACAACTTTTTATTGAACTGGGACAAAAGTAAAGGTAACTAAACCACTATTATTTTATATTTATTAAATTAGTTGAAAAGATTGATGTTTCACTGTTTTAAACCAGTTTTTATTTGCACAAAATCAAAACATAACCAAAAAAACGTTCAACATAATGGAGACTATAAAAGTCAACCAGGACGGCCAATAGGAGGAGGCCAACGAACTTTAACTGGTTGACGCGAACGAAATACAAATAATACTATTGTCGTTGATAGCCGAATCAGCTATTGACATTTCAAACACATGCTGGGAGCTAATTTTTGAAGCAGCAATGATTCGCATGCAGACAACATAGAAAATGGATATCTCTGGGAATCTATAGACCACCAAGCGAAAACGGAAGAATTGCCCTTGATCTCCTTTCAGACACATTAGAACTACAAGAAGTACACAAGAAAACCCTCTTACTCATCGGTGACATAAATATCGACAGGTTCACCCAAGATACCAAAAACACCATGTTGGAAGAAGAGTTAATCACACAATACATCTATAGATTTCCTCTAGAGGCCACCAGAATAACCCATGACACAGCCACTTCCATAGGCTGTATATGCTCAAACATACCATAAGCGGATATTACTGGACAAGTTGTGCATACTGGTCTATCTGACCACACTGCGCAGCTGTGCCTGCTGAAAACCCACCAAGTAATAGACTCTGAAACAGCGCTGAATGGAGAAGAAATTTCTGTCCAACACACCTTAACTTAGCTTCAACATCCTATTAAGAAGTCAAAACAATAATAAACTCCCTCAAAGCCAAAACATCAAGTGTAATAGATGAGTTTTCCTCTAAGATGATAAAGCACTGCTCTCAAGAACTCATCTCTCCTCTAGGTTAATCTTATAAATAAACCATTTAAAGAAAGCTAATTCCCATCCGCCATAAAAGTCAGTAAAATATACCCCAAACACAAAAAAGGACTAACTGAAAATGCTCAAAACTACAGACCCATTTCTCTCATCACCACTTTCTCTAAAATCATAGAAAAATAGTTCTGGCTAGATTAATGGCACAACTTAATCATGACAAACTCTGAACTGACAACCAACATGGCTTTCGGAAGAATAAATCTACATCCTCAGCCATAATAGCACTAATTGAGTTTGTCTTAGACCAGATAGAAAACGGACAATACATTTCCGCCATCTTCCTTGACAAGGCTTCCTTGATAAGGCTTTCAACTGCCTGGGCCACGACCTGATATGTAAGAAACTCGAAAGACTCGGTGTAAGAAACTCGGCGCTAGAATGGTTTAAAAGCTACCTAACTCAAACGTGGATCTGAAAAACTCACCAAATGAAGTCACAGCAAGTTTCAAATCTTCAGAAAGCAAACTGACAAGAGGAGTTCCACAGGCTCTGTATATTAGCCTGATTCTATTCATCCTATTGACTAATGACTTCCCCAAACAAATTGAGAGCCAAAATTCTGTTGCAATCATGTATGCAGATGACAGAACCATTTTGATCAAGGACAACACAGCCCAAAGCCTCTACCTTAATTCAAAATCGATCTTAAATAAAGCCATCCTCTACTCAAAGAACAATGACTTAGCAATAAACCCCACAAAAACCATAACTCTAAATTTCAGTAAGAAAAAAGACATAGTCCCTCAATTAGAGGTTGTAACAATAGAAACCACACAAAATTTCTCAGTGTTATCTTTGATAACAAACTAACATGGAAAGAGCACATCAACCACCTGAGCAAAAAAGTCAGTGCCGGAATATATGTCGTCCAATGAATAAACTACATAGGTGGACTCTCTGTGGCCAAAACGACTTTGCACTGGTAGAGTCACATCTTAGATATGGCTTGACAGTGTGGGGAGGAACTTCAACAAAAAATATGAATCGAATCCTTGTTCTTCAAAAGAAAGCCATAAGAGCCCTCGCCGGCCTTGTCCCACCACAGACTTGCAGACTAGCATTCGCAAACCTAGAAATCCTCACAGTGGTGGCTCTCTACATACCTTAAACCATAAAGTATGCGGATGAAATAAATCCCCAAGGAACCAAGACCTGCACCACTACAACACCCGTCATGGCTCCAAATTTGGTCCTACCAGTTCACCAAACCACTCTTTGGGAGAAAAAACCTTCCTACACCGGCAGCAAACTGAGGAACCATCTACCTGACTTCCTTAGAGACCTGACTGGCAACCAGCTACACCAGGAGTTAAAGAAGTGGCTAATGGCATGACCCTTCTACTCAATAAAGGAATTTTATCAACATTCTGGAAATTAACACGTACAATTTACTATTGTATTGACACTATTGTAATTCTAGACAAATGAACAATTAATAATATTGTATTGGTAATGTCGTAACATCCAAAATCAAACGACCAAATTACTACAAGTGGTACCCAACCGCTGCATGATCTCAATTTGTAGTTTTGCAATAAGATTTTAGATTTTTAACATTCTTACCCTTGAGGGTGCGAGGCGCTCTCAAAGGTAGTTTTTACCTCATAAAAATTACATAGGACAGATTTAAAAACAAAAATCAGCATATAAAATTAAACTCAGCAGGGTTTTTGGGAGTAAATATTGATGTATGTACTGTTCAGGAGGTTATAGACCAACGTAAACGGTTAATCAGTTTTGTTGGAAAAACAGAAAATGTCTTGGATGTTGGAAGAAATATTGCAAACAGGAGGAGGAGACATTGTAATGAGATATTTTATGCATATGAGAAGAGTAGAGACTAGAGAAGAAGAGAGGCCTGGTCTAACAGTAAGGAATCCAGATACCCAGCACTTGGAGAGATGGATAATATTCGCCAGTTTTGCTACTTAACCTAGTTTGGAAGTTAAAAATACATGAAGAATACATACATACACATCCTGTTGTCACGGTAAAAAAGTTAACTCGCCTAATGTCAGATAAAATGAATACATATGCAAGAAATGTTTACTGGTAACAGTTATGGGTAAGTCGGGAAACATTTGTAGAAAAGCGCTAAAAAAGGCCAGCTTCTGAAAAATGATAAAATATTTCCAAGAAGAGTTTATTATATCAAACTTTTATTAACAGTGTGAGTATTTCTATTAGTTACATACGCTTTTTTGTTGAGTCTTTTAAACTCATAGAAAATTATGACTGTTATTAGTTTTCAAATAACTCCTGTATAATACTGGTACTTGACTTGACAATTGCTTGATTTCGAGCAACAGGTAGGCCTACACTAGTTTTATTCAAAATCTGTTCAGACAAATGGAAATTTGCTTAGTCTGCAGGTTTTCTGTGACGCGGGCATTATTTTAAAACACATTGAACTCTTACAGGAGTAAAAATTATGATTTAGACTGTGTAAATCAATATTCGAGTGTCTGTTGAAATAAAACATTTCAATAGGAAATATTAAATAATAAAAAAAACTAATGCTTACTTCAGAAGAGACAAAAACTGCCAGAGGGCAGCAAGACCAAAGTCCCTGTTTCTTCACTTCAGGGCAAGTCTTGTACCTCGCCAGCACCATGGCATACATGTTTGCCATGCTTCCTCCTGAAAAATTATTAATCATGATCATAAGCGCCTCCCCACGGCTGTTATTATACCTTGAGACCTTGTAAAGTGACAAAAATGATCAAAGCAATCAGATAATTCCTTGACACAATAATACATATAAAAATTTTTGCAAATTATTTTGGTGTACGTTTGTCTGTAGTAGTTAGCAACCCGGACTTCTGAGCAAGAGGGGCAGGTCTTATGACCATGAATTTGAAGGCTTGAATCGCTTTCTCTCATAAGTGTTTATTTTGTGATCCATATAAAAATACGTTGGGCGTATACACTAGCAAACAAATATTTCAGATTAGTGATTGTAATAACATTGCTATGGTAATTAATAAATCTATACGAGGTTAGATTTGAATCTCTCATGTGTTTTATTCTGCTTTGTTACAGTAGTGAAGTGGGATGCCTACATTTCTTAAGGTAAGCCTGTTTATCCTATCCTTTGTCTCCCTTATACTATAATATGAGTAACATTTGCGCACAATGATTTAAAAATGGCTTCTATGATTTAATCTAAATGGTTAGAAATATTTTGATTTCAGGCAGTACACAGTACCCCTACTAGCCTTTGTTTTGGGGATACCGGTATTCGTTTTTCATTTAAAATTAAATGGAATGTTAATTTTATTAATTTATTTTTATTTTAACATTGGTCCTATGGAGAGCTAAGTAGCCAAGACAGTTTTACGAAAATGTAAATAAATGAAAATTGGAACATGTGCTTATAATAAATCATCTACACTCTACAGTACAGTAGAAAATTACTAAATACAGTACAAAAGAAAGGGACATTCCTATGAATACCATTAGCATTGGTTCTTACACTTACTTCTAAGTAATGAGATAATTAATTACTATTGTTCAAAATGGTAGAGTGTTTTACCACATAAGATTATACACTAATGTAAAACTAAAAATTTAAATATGTTCTCCAATGGGCTGTGTGCGTGACTTAATAAAAATAAGAATCAAAAGAAGTCTTGGGTAACAAAGGGTATTAGAATATCTAGTATAAATAAACGAGAACTTAGTAAACTGGCAAAAAAATCAAACGACGGACTCTTTAGGATTATGTTAGAAAGTATAAAACAATTTTCAAGAAAGTTTGTAATCAATCTAAAAGGATGTGCAATGCTAAATTCATAAACAAATCAGAAAATGTGAGTAAGGCTGCGTGGTGTGTTGTTAAATCAGAGCTAGGTTGTAAAAAAGTCAAGAATAGTTTTCCTGATATTAAACTCTCAAATAAAACCATGAAACTTTCTTTTTCCAAGATTTTTGAAAAAAATTCTTATAAACTAATTTATAATTTCTTGGAAACATACAATATATTTAGTAGTAAACAATTTAGTTTTAGAAAGGGTTGCAGCACAATGACTGCTATATCCCATTTTGTTAATGAAGTGTCATGGGCCTTGGATGAGTCACAGAGTACAATGAGGATGTTTTGTGATTTATCCAAGGCTTTTGATTGTGTCAACCATGACATTCTTTTGAAAAAAAACTGGAAATTTATGGATTTTCTAAGAAATCTATTTTATGGTTGAAATCTTATATAACAGGTAGATTTCAAAGAACTGTTATTTTAAAAGGAGGCTTGCAGTCAAAATCTGAATGGAGTGAAATTAGAGTAGATGTCCCACAGGGCTCTATTTTAGGTCCTCTTCTTTTTTTAATTTATATTAATGACTTACCTGAAAATATTTCTTATAATTTTTTTTCTGTATGCAGATGACACAACTGCTGTTGTTAAAACTAAAACGGAGGATGATTTATGGGTGAAGGTAGAAGACGCTTTAATGGATCGTAAAAGGTGGTTTGAAATAAACGGACTAAAATTAAATCCAGAAAAAACACAACTAGTAAAATTTAATACGATACAATCCCGAAATTTCACAGATAAAACAAGAACCAAAACTGTCAAATGTACTAAATTTTTAGGTTTGCATGTTGATTCAAATTTAACCTGGGCCAAGTGCATTGAAAACATATTACATAAGCTTAGTTCTGCCTGTTTCCAAATGCTTTGTTTGAGAAATATTTTAGATATGAAAACACGTTTAATGATATATTATGCCTACTTTTATTCAATATTGCATTATGGGATTGAATTTTGGGGATTCTCATCAGAAATAGAAAAAATGTTTAAAGTTAAAAAAAATACTTAAGAATTATGACATTTGCTAAACGAAAACATTCATATAGAACAATTTTTAAAGAACTTAATATAATGACTGTACCAAGTTTAATAATTTTTAAATCCTTATTCCTTATCCTTATCCTTATGGTACAGTCAAATTTTTAAAACTTATGTGCGGAGAATTTTGACCATCCATATAACACCCGTTTCAAAAAGAATTTTCAGTTTCCGACTCACCGATTAAAATTAATAGAAAAAACACCAAAATATATGGGAAAGAAATATTTTAATAAACTGCAACCAAAATATAAAGATTTAATAAACAAAACGTCTTTTAAAAGCAGCCTTGCCTCATTTCTTGTAAACAAAATATATTATAGTATTGACAAATTTTTTGAATGAAGGTAATTTTTTAAATTAGTAAATATTATGTTTTATAAAATAACCCAAATAATTATTTCTAAGAATCATTGTTTATTTTTAGTATTTTAGGTACTTATTATAATATATATGATTATATTAATGTCACCTGTTTTTGTAGCTTATGCTAGGTAATGTGTAAAACGTTTATGTGACAATAAATATAAATTTATTTATTTATTTAATCTTGAGGAAAAGCCAAGGACGTTTTGTAGTTTTCGACCTTTTGCGCCAGAATGTGTGTGTTAATTGAAAATCCCACTGATAATAAAATAGAACTATACGGATCATAAACAAGCAAATGACCCAACAATAAACATGTTTGTATTATTATTTAAATGCAACAGTGAAAAAACGTTCATAACAGATGCAGAGATTATTAGTATTAGATTCCACCCAGTGACATCATTCTTTTATGTTTTTGATCCATACCGTTTCTGTTCTTATATCCGTGGACGATCCCATTGTTGCAACGTTCGACGATCCAATGATGTAAATATGTGGTTTCCCTGGACACTAATTATAATCCTAGCTCATTAAAATAAAAGGGCAAACTAAACTATTAAACTCAACACATTTAATTGAACCAACTAAAAAGACATAGATCAGACTAATATCTAAATATATAATACCCCCGCCGCAGCAAACCTGCAGACTAAGCAAATTTTCATTTGACTGATTGGATTTACACTGAAATGTCTACTTAAAAATATTACATTTATTCCCCATTTAAGTAGAATTAGTTTAACAAGTACTTAGGTTTGCTGCATCAGGGAGGGTAAAACTGTTTTTTTATTTTGTAAAATGTTAATAGTTAGTAAGAAATAAAAACATTTTCCAAATTTGATCAAAATATGTTCATAAACAAGCAATCTACATATATATATATATATATATATGAATTTGAACGGATGGTGTTTCTGGCCTCTAGGGACCTCAAAACGAAAAAAAAAATCGGTCCCGCGCCCAGGTCTTACCATGAGTACTACGGTAATAGCTTATTCCCTATATGGGAAATTCGCTAAAAGGCAAAGCCCTCACTCACTCATGCCCCAGTGGCTCTGGAGTTTCCCATGTTAACCTTCTGATTTTTCATATTTAACAGGAATTAATGAATCTTAACAGCTGTTTCAATTAAACAAGTTGGTTCTGTTCTATGATGTTCAATAGCATTAAAGTCACAAGGATTACCAACAGGGTGCAGCACTATTATTTTTTTTATTTATGACAACAGCTAATTTGCAACCATATGGTGAGTGAGCGTAGCGAACGAACTTCAACTTGGAGGCGAGTTAGCCTAGCGAACGAGCTAACCTGAAGGCAAGTGAGCACAGCAAACGAGCTCCAACCAGGACGTGATTGAGCCATGCGATTTAATATAGCCTATATATATATTTATATATACATATGTGTGTGTGTCCGTTAGCACGATAACTCAAGCAAAAATGATCCGATTTTGATGAAATTTTATATAAACGTGTAAACTTACATTTATTGGAACGAGTTCGCGAACCAGCATGATCAGACTATGGGAACGGGGGTTTATGGGGGGTTTTATGGGGTAAAAATAGGTTTTTCCCATTTTTGACCCTAAAAACACAAAATTTCACAATTTCTTTCCAAACCATTTTGTAGAGCTTAAAAACAAATAATTTAGTATATTGAAGCGTTATTGTGCGCCTAATGGTTATGGAGAAAATTCCAAAAAATTTTAAATTTAAAATTCCCATGTTATTCTTATGGAGAATAAGTCAACTGTTGTAGTTTGCTTGTTTATGAACATATTTTGATAGAATATGTAAAATGTTAGAATATGTAACATTCATTTCTTACTAAACTATTAACATTTTACAACAAAAACACCTTTTTACCCTCCCTGTTGCAGCAAACCTAAGTACTCGTTAAACTAATTCTATTTGAATAGGTAGGGAATAAATGTGATATTTTTCAGGAGGCATTTTAGGTAAATCCAATCAGACAAATGGAAATTCGCTTAGTCTGCAGGTTTGCTGTGGCGGGGGTATTTTGTATATTTACCGTCTTGTGAGTAACAGTATAAGGTTAAATATATGTTTTAAGTGTTATAAGAAGTTTGTTTACTTACTTTCCGTAAATTAATAACACGTACGATGCTGATCAAGAAGTTATTTAGAAGTCAAAAACGATAACAATATTTGTTTACATCTGATCATAATAATCTCCTAAATAAAACACATGTTTTATTTGCAGTCTTTATGAAACATCCCCCTCCTTAAAGATCGAGTCTCCTTGGAGAATGTACTTCTTGCCTGTGTCTAGTCTTGTAACTTAAGTTGTCCTCTCGTGGTTTTGGACTTCTGGTACAGACACTTGTTGAATTTTGTTCTGTCCTATTGTCTGGTGAGGGTGTACTTTTTAAGTCATCGGGAAATGGTAGAAGATGGAAACG